TACTTTCGGTTGCAAGAGAACTGTCCGTTTAGGTATAGGTGAAGATATCCTTATATCGATGACGTTTTTCTCTCATTGAAATAATAGCTTGCAATAGAAAAATTGTGTTATTGAGATGCACTTGGCCAGGTCTGAACTAGAATCAAATGAAATACAAACTGAACAAAATAGACTAAAAGGAAAGGGCAGTGATAACATCGATGTATAGAATAACACCCATCCATAAAAGAATCCAATTATCTCGCAAGACATTTCCTCACCTCCCCAATTACGGTTTCAACCTACCACCTACGTAAATAACACAGGCAGCAGAGACAACCTTATTAAACCGCTAGTCCCGTCTTGCGGCTGGAGCGTGCGGATCACACTCCCAGATAAACACATCGATCCAACCGCAATAATTGCCGGAGATTTCCGTGAATGAGGATGACCTAATTATTCCGTGATAACCCCAAAACAGCTACGCATTTACCATGCAGTGTGGCCACCGACCAAAAGTTAATAGAACACGCACTACGGACATCAGTACGGAAGCTCAGCCGTGGTACAGTTTTCGGTCCTGATAGTGTGGAAAATTGAAAGTCTTCAACCAAAATAAGCTCCATTCAGTGACAAACCACAAAACAGCAGCACATCACCGTCCAGTGTGGCTCGTTAGAAAAAAACCTGTGGCTGGAAACTTTGTTGGATCAGCTTGTAACTCTTCAGGTCTTTTCTGGTGCCCAAGCAGCATCTATGGCTGTCATCAGGTAGCTCTATGGTACCAGTTACATAATGGCATTGCTTACGATTTCTTTTGTGTCTCACGGTAGCCGGTAGGGTAGTTTTTGTTTTGATATTTTGAAAAAAAAAGGCGTAGTGGAGACGTTGAATTCTATCCACCGAAATGGTTCCAATTGCTACCATCGTTGAATAGCGTGAGCCTCCCAAACTTTTGCCATCTGTTACAACTCTCCAGACCATGGACCGGGTGAGGATGGGTTGGTGTCGCTTGATTGGCCAACCAGGATGTGGTCAGATTTTAACCGTTAACTGGCCCTGATGCGTCCCATCATTGCCGAGTGAATTTTATAGTGCCACCATCGCACTGTGGAGTCCGGATCACCATAAGTGCCCGCTGACCCAAATACGCTACATGAGGTTCCCGGAAACAGGTGGCGGGGATGTCGCTGTACGGGACGTTCCGGGAAGGTGCGCAGATACGACACCAGCCCGCGACTAACTCACGCATCAAACATGAAGCAAGAGGAGTCTTAGTCAGCAGAAAAGAACGATTTCTAAGTGGATTAGTTTTCAAGAAAGGGAATTTCAAGAAGCAATTCAGATACTGACCAATGATAGCAAGTCCAAGACTAACAGTCTGTTGGTCTATCCGTTCAAAGCATGTTGTAAAGAGTCTTTGCCAAGGAAGACATCGTTGTCTTATCGTTCCCTGCCTGGTCTCGACAACATCAAAGAACGATGCCAGTATGGTCTGACAGTTCTTTGAATGTGCACCAACACAACTGCTCTGTTACCTGCGACCAAGGCAGTTTTCTTTCTTGGCCATTTTCCAGCCAGTCATTTGCTGCCTTCATCGTTCCGCCATGCCCCTTGGCTTCTCTACCATATCGTTGAGTCAACATTATCTACACGACTAGGTCGCCCAGGGCAGCGTCTGTCTTCCCTGGTAGACATGTATTGTTCAGGGCGGGACTCCGATGTGTGAATATCAGTACATGAAGTGTTGCCTCGGGCTGTGTCTGACTAAGCACCGGAGAAAGGGGGGCCGTTGTGAGTGTAATTTAAAATTCCAATGTCAGTCTAGCTGTCAGTCTCCACCAGGCCTTCCTAACGGGTTATTGATAGTAGAATCCGGCATAAATAAGGTCAATGGTCGGCCAAGGGAGTGAGCCGCGGTAAGGGTAACATTTCCTCCTAAAAGTGCGCGGACAAATGCAAACCGGGGCAAATGGTTACTCCGGTACATGGTAGCGACCTATGCTGAGTATCGATTGGAAAGCTGCTGGAAGGGGCTGCGGTGCTTCAAAGGGGACATTTGGTCTGTTATGTGAGATCACCAAATGCAAAATGTATTGAGCACACTAAAAACTGAACACGAAAAGAGCAGAGTAGAGATACACTCAGTTTGCGTTGATCGAACACTCAGTCGTAAGGCCTTACCTGGGCAATCACTATCGTATTGCTTTCGTGTTTCAGCCCTGCCAATATCTAAAATCTCTGCACTTCTTTGAGATGGTCATTGAATATAACATACGTCAATGGCAGTATGTTAATGGCTTCACCAGGTCCGTGGGTCGTTTGCAAGTCGAGTTTATTAAACGTTGAATAAAAGCTGCCTGGCCTCGCCAATTCAGTACAGCCTGCGGCTGAAGGCAGTCGAAACATCGGTAAAGAAATTGAAGAATGCGTTTGTGTTAGTAAAACTTAACGTGTACACATCCCCATTCAGTCGGAATCGGATCCTCCGGGCGGATCCATCCGTTATCGGCAGCAATCATGAAGAAGTTATTTGTTTTTACCGCCTTTCGTCCCGCGGAAGACGGATGGGAGTCTGGGGGCCCGCGGGTACCTGTCGCCCGGGACGGGGGATTGATTCTCACTGAAGTAACTAAATAGGTCAGCCCTATCAAGTTGCCGAGAACGACGCAAAACAATGATTGTACAACGCTATTGGGTACGATAAAATGATGGAAAAATCAGCAGCTTAGATCATGTGTCTGTCAAACATCAATCACCCCACCTAGGTACCTTTTCGGGACGGCTTAGAAGAGCGGGTCTTCAGATTAATCCTTTTGTACCTGTGGGGCAGAGCAGGAACCCTGACCTCCGAGCAGCGGTGACATGGAGGGAAAATGTGAAAGGAATTGATCTCGAACCAGTTTAGCTCCTGCGAACATCAATCCTATCCAGTAGTATTCAAGTCGGCTGAAGGACAATTGGACCGGCACTGGAACTCCGCACGGTATAATTGAGTAGAAGATTCACCAAAAGAAAGTTCGGAATAGCTAGCGTATTTATCGGTGATTGAAATAAAGAAGGTAACTGAACACATACTATCACCTCCATGGCTTACAAATGCTTCAGTTGCCAACCGTGAGTACATTACACCGGCCATTCATTTAGCAGTAATACACCCAACATCCACATGGCACTTATCTATTGATTAATTCCAGACCTTATCGGACCTGTGGTCAATATAAAATGATAACTTATAAAAGAAATAGCAAAGCTTGTCAGTTTGTAAGAGTGATAAAAGACTGAAGAATACTCTGAGGACGGCAAAGACAATACGTATGTGACAACGACCGTTTGAAGACAAACTCCGACAACGGTAAAGCCTAACACACGCCCGTCTGCACGCCATTCCCTGGCCCTGTGACCGATATTGCCAGTCAATGCGGTGAGTAATGACATAATCACGGGTTCCGTGCAGCGGGTAACCACCGGCGGGGTCTCGGCCTTTGTTCGCGGCCAATCCGTGTGAATCCGGGCGGAGCCGCCGTGTCAGGAGGGGACCAGGCGACCGATCGATCGCAGCGCGAAACTGGGTCAACAATCTGCACAGAGCACAGAAGCTGGGAGGTGTGATCTATAAGCAACTGCTCAGGCGGTATGTCGAACGGTTTCCGATGGTTAGAAAACGCACATTTCATGGGAATCTGTGTTTGAAAGGGATGGGGAAAATGACCGAGGCAGTGACAACTTTCCGTCTTGTTCATTTTACTTCATCCATGGGTCTAGAACCATCCAAATGAAGTCCTGGAAGCATGAACAACTGTTAACTCGTCCATGGTGCTGAAAGTAGGATTGTACTTACCCCGTTACACAGGGACAGTCGCCTGTTATGGCAACCGGCGCTGATAACAGAGGCGCACGGCACGAACATCCTGAAGTAATCACCAAGCAGGAGATGGACGAGACGATCGGAACATTCTTCAAGTTGAACTGTTTTATGTTAGACAGATTTAACTTATAGTTTGCTTGCTAACTGACTTGAAAGGACCACGACAGATAAACCAAATAATCATAAAACAAAACATAACTCTAGAATATTTGGAAAGGTATCAGAAGGACAAGGCTTTCAATCCTCAAAGAAAGAAGTACTAGTGTGGTAATAACATTACTGCAAGTTTGATATCCGCCTAGTCCGGATTGTTTTATTGCCTTCCATGACTCTGGTGCATTGGGAAATCAGACACAAGTTGGACAAGAATTAATCTGTGTAAAACAGTAAAGATGTAACTAGACAGAACAGCACACCCGGTCAGGGTTATGGGCACTGCCTGACGTCAGGACAGGTTTTGTAGCGATGTGGGGAACCGTAAACAAACCGTGTTTTACAGCTGAGTTCCTGAACACACGTCAGACAGCTCTAACACTGACAAGCATCCGTGTGTGTCATGGCTTAGTGATGTGCTTCACCGATAGCTGTATTAATGATCCCACTATCATCATAGTGTCAATTTAAATTATGGCTCTATAAGACTTAATACACCAATCCATGCCAACATTACCCTAGACAGTTAATTCTCTACTTTCACGGGGACTTAATTCTGTGGTAGAATGGGAAAGGAGGTTTTCCCTGTGTTAAGTTTGCGGTCAAAACGATTCTGTAGTTCCGTAGTACTACTACTTCTTACTTACTTGTACAGCAGTAAAATATTGAAAATATATTGAATTGCTGCCATGAATTCACAGTGCAGAGGAAAATAAAACTACCACAAACATTTGATAATTTCCAGTAGTAGAGAACTGGTTGCCATGTAAAACACTTGGGGAGGGCTTGTGATTACTTACCAGCAGGAGGCTGATCACTTGTGTTAAAGGTTAACTGATTACCACTTTCAAGGGTGCAGAAAATGTTACACTTTAGAACAGAACAGGTTCATTTCATTTAAAATCCATGTTTATATATATTTCATGATTGGCTATTTCATACAGCTCTCCATGGTCTATTTCTTTCACATTTACCTGTAAGTCACATATTTCATTTGTTATCTTATTTAGATTTTAGTATCATAGACTTTCCTTACAAGCCATGTTGGTCACCATCTGTTGTACTAAAGAGTACACAGTACAGTCTGCAGCTATTTTAGATATTCAACGTGTCAGGTGGGTGAGAAGTCCATAAACACAATATTATGATTCAATAAAAGATGTAACTAGAATGTGAACTGGAACAGTAACACACCTAAATCAACATTGTACTAGAGTAATTTTTTAAAAAAGACTTTGGTCACATCAGCCCTGAGTGCTGCTGGCTGTTCCTCTGTTGCTGCACCTCCCTTCCCTTTGCACCTGGCCGACAGAACGCTTCCCACTCCTTCTTGTGCAGAGTGTACAGTCTCATAGCAACCTGGGCATCTTGGATCTGTAGAACACAAAACAGAACTGTCACCATGGTAACACACCTGAGCATCTTGGATCTGTAGAACACAGACCAGAACTGTTTCTAATTGGTAACACAGTTTCATAGCAACCTGGGCATCTTGGGTCTGTACAACACAAAACAGAACTGTCACCATGGTAACATACCATCTCATACCAACCTGAGCATCCTGGATCTGCAGAACACAAAACAGAACTATTTCTATGGTAACACTGTCTCATAGCAACCTGGACATTCTGGATCTTTAGAACACAGACCAGAACCGTTACCATGGTAACTATTTCTATGGTAACACTGTCTCATAGCAACCTGGACATTCTGGATCTTTAGAACACAGACCAGAACCGTTACCATAGCAACACACATCTGACTGGTCTCATGTATGCCCCAACATGTGTTGGCTCAAATTCACTGCTTGAACCTACATTGTGTGCTACCCTGAAAGGCAATCAAGTCTGAATAAGATTTCAACTTCTCATCCCAGTTTATCCCACTTGTGCTTACTGTTCTTTTATAAATGGGAATGTTTTAATCCCTGAGACAATCTCTTTTCTTGAGATGTCACGTCTGTCTTCATTTCTTACTCCTTGAATTGTGAATCACTCCATTTGCCACTCTTAAAGTCACATTCTACTGATGACACACAGGGTTTGGATGTCAGGAGCTTAGCGTGAGAGTGGTACAATACATCAACATGTGACAGGGACAGCAACAAATCAAGCTGGATATGTCAGCTTCTGTTGACCCCCAAATGGCAAAAGATCATCAGGCTTATCCACCTATGACCCCTGACCTACAGCTGATGAAATGGGGTCATCACGGTCTTTGAGTGACAGCAAAAATCACCTTTCATTTTTCTGAGACTGTATCACATTCAGGAGGAACTAAGGTCTAAGGTAAGGAATTACAACCCTGAAACTGAGTGTACAAAGATAATGATTTTCCCCCTCATCTTCATATTCCAGTTTAATGGGGTAGGAATTATTCCCATGAGCATTTGTCACTCCTATTTGGTAGCTTAGTATGCACTTTCACTGAGTCAAACTTGTCTCAAGCATTCTTACCTAGAGACAAGTGATGCTGTTCTAGTAACCTGAACTTAGTTTGGTGCCCAGAAGTGGTCCATTGGCAAATTCCTTAAAAACAATTGTTTGCAAAAAGGTTTATTAATATATCCATCGTTGTTTGCAAAAAGGTTTATTATCCATCAACTGATCAAGCTGTTGAAGCCAGCCTGGTGTGCTAATGTTGAGAGACGTGCCGTGGATTGTTTAATCCACCCGGCGACACTACATGACTGACTGGAGGGTGTCAGACCTAAATGCCAGCCTGATGAATCATGATTTAGGGATGATCCAGATGCCGGGAATCCATCATCAGAATGGAGCTGTCCGCGCATCAATATTAAGGGACTAATTTTCCTGAGTGTTTTCCTCTGATGCCAGCAGAAATTTGACACTGAGCCATATGATATGGTATTTAACAATTAGGCTTCTATAATGGTAACGAAACCAGTCAATGAAAGTCTGAGCCGTCATTCGATTCGCTCCCAGGTATGAATATAAACAAAGATTTGTTCTGTATTTGTGCTTAAATTTAACTAGCTGTAACTGGAGCAAAGATTTAACAAACGTAAAACTAAACGATCACTCTAATATAGCCCATCTCCTAAAACTTTGGCCTACACAAAATAACTATGAGCAAAAGTGTACAAATCAGACTTCAGACTTCCTCCACCACAGGCCCATTCCACTTCATGATTCCAGACTTATCTCTCTAACTTGCTGACATCTCTTCACACCAACATCATTCTAAATGCCTGAACTCAACTCCTGCTCCTATCATTCTCAGGCTTTATCCCACAGAAACAGATAAACCGTGAAATGTAAGCATACTGACCCTCCCCACACCTCCCCAGAACTGTTCCTATTCAGCCCCATGTCTGTCCATAATTGCCGACTCATCGTTAATCCGTGTGTGTACTGCCGATCACGGGAGGCGCCCGCAGCCATTTTCCACCCAGTGAGCCGCACCGCCACAATCATGCCTCCCAGGACGCTCCAAGGACACCCTGTACGTTTGACCTTCAGCCGTCAGGTGCGATGTTCTTCTGAGGCTCTACATGATGAGCAGGGCGCTCCCGAAGGAAGGCAGGGCTCCAAATTCATGTTGGGAATGGTTTTAATTGTGTACCTAACCTCAAAATTTAGGGGCATAAAAAAATGTGTGCACAACATACAATAAAATTGAATATTACTATTAGCAAAACCTAATTACAAATGTTACACCCTGAATTTATATATGGCTAACTTCAAATGAATGTTATGAAAAAAGGTTTTATCTTTTTTCTGATATAGATGTCAGAGAAAATGCTGTATACTAGTGTACAATACTATCTATATATACCGTAGGTATCATAAATATCTAGGTGCACAGGTCAAAAACTAGGAGCATAACTCCTTCTACACCCAGTATTTCCATCCCTGGAGGGGATGTGAACTTGAATTATGGATGACATTGGTGAAAGCATTGATTCCACGGGTCCAGGGAAAACAAGGAACCCCTGTTGTCTCTTTGTTCAATCTGACCAAATTTGTCAAGCAATGTAAAAATGTACAACACAGTTGGGCCAAACAGACTTTATTCTATGGATGTTGTCAATGCACACATTCATTTTACCCTGAAATAAACAGAGACTCTTCTTCTCTCTTACCAGTTTGATCTGACAAATGAACAAATCTATCAAACACTAATGTACAAATTGCACCTGTAGTGCCAAACAATCATAGTTTTTATGGATGGCATTTTCAAACATCTATTCAGCCTTACAATTTTTATTACTAGCTTTTCAAACCTCTTTACTGGCAGGCCAATTTTGGTAAAGCTTTACAGGAAAACCTCTCATTCTCCCAGCAGGAACTCGGACTGCCAACATCCATCAAGCTTTGGAAGCAAAATTCCATGAACTTTTAAAATGCCAAATTTGGTTAAAGCTGACGATGTCAAATTGCATGAACTTTCCAAATGCCAGAAGGTCCTGTAGATTAGCGTAATTGTATCAGTAAAGTAGGGCATTGGCATGGAGCGGGGTAATCAGCCATTATCCTCCATTACAGACACATTACTGCCATTAAACACTCGTTGACCCAGTTATTCCTACGGCTCTTTCTGTCTGCTGAATGGAAGTGTGAGCCAGACTTAATGGGGTGGATCTACCTGGTGCCACACTAGCCACTGGGCTGGTTTAGAAAAACAAACCGGTTGTGGCTGGGGCTGATTCTGTGTGGATGTATGAGCCAGACATGGCTGGGTAGAACAGTGTATAATGGTTCATGGAGACAACATCTAACAAACAACTCTATGTCTCTCTCCCGCCTATTTCATCTGTAGTCAGACGACGTAGACTCACCCTGGCAGGACATGTTTGTAATAATGAACCAGCTGGTAGACTAATACAGTGACTTCCTACTGGGAGACGTATAGTGGGACGGCCTTATACTACACTCTTGTCTATGTTAGAGAGAGACGCTGGTCTCACAGGGTCTCTAGTGTCCGCTATGAGGGATGGGGCATACTGGAGTAACTTTATCAAGTGTACCTTCTTCTTCTTCTTCCCTTGATGCCCACAATCGAGGCGTCGATTATTCTGGCATTTCAGGTCAGAGGTCATTATACTAAAAATTGTCCAGTATTCACAGTCCATTTAACCTCGCCGGGTCAGTTCCGAATAGTCCCGTCCATACTATTACAGCAGTGAAGACTACATGAGGCTGGACACCAGGTTGTTCACTGTGTCTACCTCTGCCGCATTCCAATCCTTGATGGTTCTAGGCAGGAATGAAAAGTCTCTGTACTGTGTTCTAGTCTTAATCTGGGAAAGCTGATAGTTGTGTGTGCGTCTTCTTCTTGATGGTGGCGGAACAAGCTTGCTTTTTATAATAGGGCATTGCACAATTCCTTGGTTGATCTTAGCCAGCATCCCTAGTCTTGCTGACCTTCTGCGTTCTGCCAGTGGTTGCCAGCCGAGTTCTGCTAACATGTTGGTCACGCTTGACGTGTTGTGGTAGCGATTGAGAACATATCTCGCCGCTCGTCTTTGGATGCTTTCTAGTTTGTCAATGTCCTTCTGCTTGTAAGGATCCCACACGGATGCAGCATACTCCAGCAAGGGTCTCACAAAGGTTTTGTATGCTTTTTCCTTGATGGAAACAGAGCTGATTTTAAGGTTTCTCTTAATAAAGCACAAAACTCCATTTGCCTTGTTTGCTACATTATTGTAGTGTACGTTCCAGCTCGCGTCCCTGCACAGTGAGACACCTAGGTACTTGGCTGTTCTTACTGTCTCAAGCGTATGGCCATGGAGTACATATGATGTCTCCAAGGGTTTTCTACTCCTTGTCACTGTCATGGTTACACATTTAGCAGGGTGAAACATCATATCCCAGGATTTTTCCCAATCTGCCAGCCTTTACTAGATCCCGTTGTAGCTGATCTTGTTGTTCCCTATTGGTTATGACGTTATATATGGCAGTATCATCGGCAAACAACCTAGCCAGTGCTGTTAGTTTATCCGGTAAGTCGTTTATATATGCAAGGAATAGACAGGGACGGAGGACGGAACCCTGTGGGACTCCTGATCTGACGCTTGCATATGAGGACTGGTATCCGTCGACTATAACTGCTTGTCGTCGGTCTCTCAAAAAGCTCTCAATCCAAGCTAGAGTCGATCCTTGGATTCCAAAGCGGTGTAGTTTGTGAATCAGTAGGCTATGATTCACCCGGTCAAATGCTTTTGCGAAATCCATTATTAGGATATCTGTCTGTTTCCCACTTTCCACGTTGGTCGTTAGCTCTTCTACCATTTCTAGCAGCTGACTCTCACAGGATCGACCTCTGCGAAAACCATGCTGTGCGTCATTCAGTATGGCGTGTGACTCAAGGTGGTACATGACATGTTTGACCACAATATGCTCCATCAGTTTACACGCTATACATGTCAGGGAAATTGGTCTGTAATTAGTTGGGTCATATTGTTCCCCTTTTTTAAAGATGGGCATGACATATGCACTCCTCCAGTCAATTGGGACACTGCCTGTTGTTAATGAAGATTTAAAGATGGTTGTCAGTGCCGGCGCCAGTTGCTCTGCTAGTTCTCGTAGTATTCTAGGGCTAATGCCGTCTGGCCCTCCGGCCTTGTGTGGGTTCAGTTTCTCCATTAACTTGCTCACTCCCTCGCAGGTGATAGTGATGTTATCCATCGCTGGTACGTCTGTGTTTTGCATACCTGTCTTCTCTTCAAACTCTGCGGTTGAGTACTGCTGTCCATCACCGAAGACTGATTGGAAGTGTTCATTCAAAATGTCAGCTTGCTCTTGTGGGTTGGACGTGAGGCGGCCATCTTTCTTTAGAGGGGCAACACCGGCATTACTTGACCTCTGGTTCTTAACGTAAGCCCAGAACCTCTTATTCCCTGGTTTGTAGGCAGATGTTTCTTCCGTAAAGACTGAGTTTAGATGACTCCAATAGCTCCGACGGATCTGTCGTTGGATGGAACGGCGCAGGGCCTTAACCTCTTCCCTCAGCTTATTGGATCCGTTTTTCTTCCACTTGCGGTATTTCCTATCTCGTCTGTTCATCAGTTTCCTGATACTTGGCGTGACCCATGGTAGGTTGATTACCTCACCAGCTTAAAATCCGGAGGCATGATGATGATGATGATGACGAAATGACATATTGTAAATATACATCTATGACCTCTTAGTTATCAAACACTACCCACGCACGCACACACACACACACACACACACAAACACACATAAACATTAAGAACAGGAGAGACTTACCGAGCAATGCTCCCCCTTCTGGATCTGAAGATGGAGAACCCCAGCAGCCAGCTTCTTTAATGAAGGCGTGTTGTTACCCTGGACAGAACAGCAGGGTTTGTTGAGAGTTTTTTTTTAAACAATTCTGTATTGGTTATGGGGTTAGTCAGCAGGGAGAAGTCAAGGACAACATACAAAAGACTTATTTAGGACCTATAGAAAACAGATTACACGTTTTGAGTGTTGTTGTTGAACTTGTATAAACCATAACATCTTTACAAGTGCAGGAAGACTTTTACCAATCTATTCACCCACATGTGTACTGCTTACAGTAAGGCAAGGGTTACCAATCTTGTTCCTTTGCTAAATGTTCATACCAAATTCATGTTTTATTTTCCCATAATTGCATCGTTTATATCATTATCAAGACATGAGTCTAGACAATTATCTTCATTTTCAAGATTTTATTTGGTTACAACAACCAAAATTTGTAAAATTTGCTGCACGTTGATTAAAACTGGTGAAAATTAATCAATAATATTTGATCTAGATTTTATTGAATTTGTGTGAAGAGACAACAATGTGAGATTACAAATTTGGGGGGTAAAGTATTGGTATGACGATTGTACCAGATTCAGCTAACAAAGGGAGTAATAGAACCTCCATGACCTAACTAACAAAATACATTGTTGCCTTATACGCTCATTTTTTTCAAGTTCCATGACAATTTTTCAATAATTGCACAAGAGGCTGTAATGTCAGGACCTGTGGCAACCTCAGACTGAGATGCCAGTGCCCAACTGCCATAAAAAACATGGAGGCTTATTTCGGTGGAAGTCAATCAATGTGAGAGCTGAATAGAAACAGCCTTCTCCGGATATTGATTATTGACAACTAATCAATCGTGTGCTGGTTATGTCCCCCATGGGTCAGTGTAAGATGAGCTCCCCTGATCAGATGTAGCACACACAGATTTAATCAACTCCATGTTAATTAGCTGTACAACAGGAAACCACCAGGGAAATACACAAGGAAATTAATTCTGTCTGACCTACAATATTAAATACTGGAATGATTATACAATGTAATGAGACCTACAGGTTTAAACAACAACAATTTTAGTAGTAAGATATATAGCTGAGCTAAGATAAAAGTAAATGTGGTAGATCTTAAAAAGGTGGATTTGAAAGTTTTGTGTTGGAAAAAGCTTTTGGATGTACAACGTAAGTCAAAGTTGTGTTGGATGGACCTACTATAGTACTAGTACCTCTCTTTGCAACCAGGGGATGAATTGATTGTAATGTTACAATCAGATGGGACTTACATCATGTAGATCATGTAGATTTTTAGACTTTAATCTGTTGATTACTTCATACCATATATGATGCGCATGTATGTGAAATGACTACTACTAGTAGTATAGAGACTTACCCCTGCCAGACTCTTGAAGGGAGGGAAGTTGGATGTGTCCCTGATCATCTGTTTGGGATGGGTCATCTGTAAGGCCTACAGGGGGAAATACATGTAAGTACATTTTAGGAGCCAATTTGTACAGGATATGCAGCAAGGAAAAGAATTATTATTATAGCAGACACTAGATGTTTATGACTAAAAAACAATGGTCCAATAGAGATGTGTAGTTGCTACACTGCATATTACTGTAAAATACATCTCTCAGTGAACTGACTGTGCACTGATGCCATCTACTGACTAGGTTTCAAACTGCAGGCTGACAAGAACAATGAGAGCAAATTGCAACTTTTCCCGTGTATTAACCTCGAGAAGGTTGCAAGTGAGAAGAAAAATCAAAGGCAGAAAGGGTAAGAATTCATCCATCTGTCATTTCTTCACTCATTCCTCTATCGACTCAGGAGTGCCTTTCTTACCTTCATGTCGTTCTGCAGGGCATGGCCCACCAGGATCCGCCCTTTAAGGATGTCTGCCACCTCCTTCTGCACAGACTGGAAACTCTCACCTGACAACAAGAAGACACATGTCAAGCTTTTCATGATGGAATGTAGAAATTCTACTGGTATGAGGTAATCAGGGATGGACCCTTCCAGTCTCACAGACAAAAATAGTAACACTAAAGTAAGGATGTATATTATATTGTTTACAACATTGTATGTACTGGTACTGTAAGTCTCTTTAGATTCGCGGGGCCTAAAGTTCGCGGTTTCGGGAAAATTGACAATCCGCGGTATTTTTAGATTCGCGATTTCTCCTTGGCTATTTTTCGAAGAAAAATTTGTAAGGTGTATATTTAAAGTAATAAAATTTTGTGTTCCGGCATTTATATCCTAAAACGCGGCGCAAAAATTTGTTTCGTGCACCGCGCGACACTGCCGGCGGTATGGCTGAAGATCGATCTGACGCACGTGTAAACAATTTTCTTTGTTCGGAAATAAGCGCTAAAACGCTATTTTCCACGACTACACATCGATACTCTAGTGAAGAAATGCATAATCGAAAGAATCTTTCGGGAAAATATATATATTACTAAGAATATTTATGCCGTCTTCGGCGAGATTTTGAACCCGGAAGTATGCAAAGGTCGCCTTCGGTCGCAGGGCGCAAAAGAGAACCAACTAACATTTCCCAGGTACCAGCAGTTATATTTTTCATCATAATATTTGTAGATATGCCCGATGTGCCCACAATTTTCAAGCGCCCGGACACGCATGGTCGGCGCTCAGCACACAGATTTTTGTCCGGCGGTGCACGTTTGACAGTGCCGCAGTATCGCGATTCGGTCTCTCATAATATTATAATTTTTTGACATCAGTATAACTTAAAAAAAATTGGTACTCAACATTCGTACATTTGCTAAGAATAAAGTTGATTTGCAGTGATTTGTGTTTGTTGCGTGTGTTTGTGTTTCGCTTTATACCGTCGTGAATGCATGTGGGGAGGGGGGCGCACTTACGCAAAACGTATTCGCGGGGAAATAGATTCGCGGTACAGAGGTCCCCGCGAATTCCGCGAATCTAAATATACCGCGGAAATTTGTAGACTTACAGTATTGAGAATCACAAAATCACAGCTGTACAGACCAACAGACAGGCATGTAGAAATACACACATGTAAAGTCAAGTAAAAAGAACTACATGTATAATGAGGAAACAAGAAATATTTACCGTCCTTGAGGTCCCGTGGCCTGATTCCGCTGACAAATGTGCGGTAGTCTGTCACTTTCTCTTTGGGTTTGACGAACTTGTCGTAGACACACTTGCCGAACTGGTTAACAATGGAGACACGCGCCAACGCACTCTTACTGCCGCGGTGTCCTGTACCAACCATTTCACAGTCCATGCCTACAGCTCGCGTCAACCTAGAGGAGCAACAACAACAGGTAAACACAAACAAAAACACGGGACACTTTTAGTAACTGCCATTAAGGGAGTGAATATACAAAGTAGCCTGAAGCAAGTTTTCCTCCCGACCTTCAGTTTTCAGGCCTGGGCCTGTACCTGTACCTACAACTTGACACAGCTCTAGTATGGCAGTTGAGATATCTTTCCTGTCCACTTACCCATCAAACGAGTCCGGTTTGACCAGACTCATGGCCGGTCTGTTTGCCAGGCCTCGCTCCTTCCGCGCTGCGGCCGCCACATCTGACCCTAGCGTGACCTCTATGTCCTCAACATCAAGGTCATCCACAAACCACAGGTCAGGATGGGAGCTGGGAGAGGGAGGGGGGGCAAAGAGAACTGTCTGATTAAAAACATGTACATGTATCCTTCAGTTAACGATCATAGTATTCATACAAGAGAAAAAATTGTTCTGTATTTCAAGTTTACATAAATTTTATTTAAGTTTACAATCCTTTATGAACATTTTCTTCAGTAAAATGATATAATAATGTGTGTCAAAATAAATCACAAAAAGAAAAGGACTCCAATGTCTAAAAATGCTGTGAGTACCAGCCTTCTGACTTCCTATCAAAACTTTACATGAAGCACAAAATGACAAAACTCACCTTTGTTCTTGTGAAGTCCCTTGTCCTTTATCATCTCTAAGTTTTGTCCTCTTCCTTGGAGACTCCTTCTGGTTGGACTTCCTCTTCTTGGCAGACTGTTGAGACGTCTTGCTGCTGACTTGGGTTTCCTTGTGGGTTTGAAGAGCCTTTTGGTCATTACACAACAAACAGCCATTAATAACCACCATGTGAAGTAACTTTGATCTTCTACCAGTAACCACTAACTTTTACTTCTCCTGCTACATGTAGTAGACAAGTCTGCAACTACGTATTTTAATTTCCTATCAGCTCACCATTTATCAAACAATTCTGGCTTGAAATAATGAAGCTAACACAAGCAGAGTACTAGGACTTCCCACTTCACTTGCCTCAAATACAAAAACAACAAAGCACCCTCCCTTGTTGCTCTTGACCTGCATTTGGACAACCAAATACACAAAATTCCTCTTGAACTTATTTCTTACTTTCAACCTACATCTCTAACATCTTTGATCTAAGCAACTTACTAGTACATGTACTTCAAGACCATGATTCACTTCAAGTCACCTATGTCAGTAACAAAACTCCTATGCCATTGTATAATTCAATTGTTCACCACAGAACAGAGCAGTATCTAGCTCTGGAGCTTTCAAGCCTTTCCTTTTGCCCCAGAAAACTTCCCCTTACCTGTGTTTTAAACAGCCTACTAGCCCAGGTTTGACTTGAACCTAAAATCACCCCAGCCTGCTGCTGCATTCTGGGCAACACTTGAGACTGTGTCATGTTTGAGTCCATGTTTCCAACTGACCTGTCCTCACAACACACTACAGCCTCAGTACAGGGTGTCAACAGTCTTACTCCCACTGATTGGTCCACCTTTTGTTCCCCTTGTTGTCTGAAAAGGTGTTTTCACTGACATTGTCTTTCCGTATGCAAATGAGGGGTGTTTACCAGACAGTTGTCACCTTGACAATAAGACAATGGGCAGCCAATCAAGCTAAATTTTCAGACTTTGCATACTTAATCAGGGAGTACATAATCAGAACATACATGTGTATCTAAGCAAACAAGGAAATTCAAACCCTCCTACAAGTTCAGGTAGAACTTGAAGATGAAAACATCTGAAATACACCTAGGACTTTTGAAACAAACTGTCTGCCCTTTCATAATGCTACTTACACATCCCTGCACACAGGTCCATACCTGCAGGTCATATCCTTGGAAGTTAGATGTTGATTTCTTCATACCTTGATCATACCAAGCTACGTAAGGAGGCTTTAAAAAATGGTTTCTAGATGTTTCTCCCTTGGAAATCTTCTCCACGCTAGTAATTAGCCAAACCAATGTGTTGAACGTCCTTGGCCAAACTACATGTATTTCGACATTAGGGATCAACCTTGGGGAAATGTCAGTACTGGGTGAACCAGCATGATACAGTGGTAGTGATACACCCCTTATCATACTTACAGCAGCCAGCTTCTTCCAGTTAGAAGAAAAGTCTTCCCCCTTCTTAGGAACCATTGGCTGAGGAGCAGTCTGGGCTGTTGAGGAGTCTACCGTCTTTTTTGGTCTCCTTCCCCATTTCACCACTCTCCAGTTTTTCTTTTTCCCTGGTTCCTTCTTGTTTCCTTGCGACTTTTGCGACACATTTTGACCAATGGAAACAGTCACATTGTTTGGGGTAATAGAAACTGTTCTGGTTTCACTTGACGTTTGTTCCTTTACATTCTGATTTGAACTTAACTGTACAGTTTTCTGTTCCTGTTTCTTGTGCTTCTTCTTCCATATTCTTCGCCGATTTTTGCTCTTCTTGATGCCATTTTGCTGTGTTGTTGCGTTGATTATGCTGTTACTGGGTTGATCATTTTTGTTGGATTTCTTCTTTTTCCTCCCGATGAGATAGGTGACCACCCTCTCCATGGCAGTGTTACAGCTGGTCTGTACCCCGTAAGAAAAACACAAGATGTTAACCCACCGTATTCGGTAGGATTTCACGTGCAATAATAGTGTATTAAATGAAGTCACTAAACATGACTAAAAGTACATTTGTACCATCAAAAAAATAAAATCATGCTAGGGCAGGCTAGGGCAACACTTCTCCACGTGTAGATACTAGTACATGAACAGTTAGAAATAGGGTGGGAGGGGGGCGAGGCACACACGTAGATTCGTCATTATTTTTGGATACTAAGGAGCAAATTACAAATATTACTCTAGTAAATGTACCATGCATGGAATTCTAACATTCTACTTAAGAGAAGTAAATGACAACATGGGATATTGTAATCCCCATTGACTCACAAATGGTACTTACAATGCAACTGGCAAACGTGCCAGAAGGAGGATTTGGATAACCTTTCACCGGGCATTTTAGGGCGTACCACTTTCTTTTATATCGAGGTTTCAGCAAAATATTGCAAATATGACTGAATTTACGTACATAATCAGTAATAAATGAATCAAATATATTCTCTATCAAAATAGAACGGCCGTTAGAACAGCGGTGAAGTGGTTCAATTTTTTTTGGGTTCAGATTTGTCTGTCCCTTACGCCCCCATGGTTACCAATCGTATCGTCTAAATCCAACATGGACGGCGTTTCATCTTTCGAAGAAAGCGGTCAAAAGTGACCGACAATTTCTGTGATTTTCTGTGTTTTGGCGACAGATAGGACCCGCAGCTATGGCGGACCCGTTCACCAGGAGACTGCTGCGCGTGTGTGTGGCGCAGATATGTCAGACGTTGGGCTGGCACGCCGTACAGACGACGCCTTGTGAGGTGCTCACAGACATACTACACAGGTACACAAGTTGCAAGTAGATAAATATACTGTTAGAAAACAGTGTTTGGCAACCATATACTATTACTTATGACCATATTATTCCCCAAACCTGAAATGAATTGTCAATTATGTTTTATTAATGAGTGATGGATCGTCCAGGTGTCCAATAATCAATATGCAATTTCAATCGATTACTAGTACTGTGATGTCAAAGTAATCAAGTCTTTGAAAAGAGCTGACTTAACTATTTTGTGTTCACTGTCAAAATTATCGTTTTAATCCAACTTTTTGCAATTAGGTGTTCATCTTCTATCCTAGCTCTGTTATACTGTTAATGGGTGCCATTAAAATTCACACATAACTTAGTGACCAATTTGATTCCAAAGCCAGTGAAAATTAAGTCAGCTCTACAACTGCAAGAAGAATGACTACTACTACTAGTACTACTATGTTGTTTCTTCTGTAAGTGTTTTTCTGTGATCCTTACACTCTGCAGGTATCTGGAGCAGGTATCCAGAACAGCCCACAGATACAGTGAACAGTGTAAGTTGTAATTTATGATGGTAAAAGTAAAAGTCTGGCTGTGTTATCCAGGTAAAACTGATTCACTTGCTGCTTTGTGTAATTAGAATGCTAGTAATGAATAATAGTCTAATACCTAAGAAGGGTATTTGAGGCATTATCAGCTTTCAAAGGACTAAAATATCAAAGCCAATAAGATGTTTTGAGTATTTTGTCATCTTTGACATTTCATTGGGATGAAAGTCTTCACTCAAATTTAGCTCTCACTGATTCTTCTAACATTTTCTTCATCTTTCATCTTCTTCTTGACCTTTCATCCCTTTGCTAACCTTTCACCTCCCCACTGACCTTTCACCTTCCCACTGACCTTTTGCCCTCCTGTCTTTAGTTGGTCGGACAGAGCCAAACCTGGATGACCTCGGACTGGCGTTCGGTGACCTGAGCATGAACCTGCAGGAGATAGAACACTACATCGCTAATGTGGAGCCGGTGCCGTTCGCGCACCAGCTGCCCAGGTTCCCCCTCCCTAAGAACAACTCACTCAACATCCCTGAACCAGGCAGTAAACAGGCCAGGGAGAGGAGGGGATACATCCCAGAACACCTGCCACCCTTACCTGCAGACATGGATGGTGAGTTAGCTAGTACACACCTGTACAAAATACCTGCCTAGGTTTTCCCTCCACAAGAATAAGTATTGATCTTTGCAATCATTTTTCTATTTTCATATTCTGATAGTTTGCATGTAGGCAGTGGGGGAGCTACACTGCTAAAAGACAACTGAAATAGATGAAGTATTGGCTAATATTAGTAGTAATAAAATGTTCCTTCGTTTTCATCTTTTTCACCTGTCCTTATGTAGACCCAGAGGAGGAGCTGCCACAGTCTCCTGCAGCCATGGACACCAGTCAGCCTCTGACCTCTGCAGAACCAGACCTACATCTGGGTGCCCCCTCTGTTGCCATGGAAACTGACAGCCTGTCTCCTCATCTTGAGCAACGAGGGCTAAAGCGCCCCCCAACAGGTTATGAGGGAACTCCACCCAAGAAGCGGCCATACATTGCACCCGAGGAATCCCAGTCCACACCCTCTGCACTCAGCCGCAGTGGGTTCAGCTTGAAGGGAGAGGGGGTACTCCCCGAGGCCAGGACCCCCCCTCAGCCCAAGCCAGTCCCCCCAGAGCAGCCCAAGACTGTGCCTGTGCTGAAGATAGCTCCTGTCCCCCCACCAGTCAGTAGTGCCAATGGGTCAGCCCCACCAACAGCTGCATCCCTCTCTAACTCTGGGGGCTTGTCCGTAACAGTCTCGATGCCTTCAACTGTCTCCCAGTCTCCTGTCAAAAAACCCAAGAAGAAGCCCTCCAGCACTGGAGATAAAGAGAAGGGCTTTAAGATCAAGTCTAAGTCTCCTAAAGGAGATGTGTTAAAGTCTCCAGCTATCAAGGCTTCCCTGTTAACTCCCAAGTCACCCAAGTCTCCTTTAAGAAAGAAGTCTCCAGGCAAGTCACCGAAGAGACCCAAATCCCCTGGAGCTGCCAAGTCACCAGGTAGGGCCAAGTCACCAGCTGTATTCCAACCTCCAGAGATCAAAATTCCACCTGAAGAGCCTCCACCAAAAAGTCCAGAGTTCCCATCTCCCCCTCCACGCCCTCCCAAGTCGCAGCTGGAGGCTTTGCTGGTGAAACGACCAGAGGTGCCGAAACCTGAGCCACTTCCCATCAAGCCTGAAACGCCAGCACGCTCTCAGCTGGCCAGTCTGCTCACCAGGGATAGCCTGGCACCCCAGGCTCCTCAGGCTCTGCCAGGTACCCTGGAAGAACCAGCAGACAAGGAAGATGATGAAGATGAAGATGACCTTGTCATTGACCTGGAGGCAAACCCACGGAAGAAGTCCCAAGTGAACATGGGGCACACGACAGTGGATGATGTCATAGATTCTGTCATCTTAAACTTTCGACCAGCGAAACCGAAACAGCAGTCTGTGTACGATTTTGATGAGGAGGACAATGAGCCTCCTCCGAAGCAGCTGGTCCCTCCGCTGTTGTTAACTGTCCCCAAGCAGGAGCAGAAAGTCGTGGATCCCAAGGAGTCTGCTGCCATGGATGACTCCATTGATGCAGTGATTGGCCGTCACGCTAAAGAACCCCCCACTCCTGAACCCAAGATGACAGAGCCACCTCCTCTGGAGCATCTTAAAGTGAGCGAGAAGGACAAAAAGAAGATGAAGAAGGAAAAACTGAGGGCGAAGTTGAAAGAGAAGGAGAGACTGAAAGCCAGGGAGGAGACTGAGAAACCAAAGGAGTTTACAGAGAAACTTAAAATCACAACAAACGCGGAGACAGGTTTGTCACTAGTGGCACGGATGGAGCCAACACCATCATTAGCAGTCAAGTCATCACTTCCACCTGCAGGGGCATCCGAGGAAAGGGATGACAGGGATAGAGAGAAGAGGAGAAAGGACAAGAAGAAGAAAAAGAAGCGACAGAAGGAGAAACACCGGGAAAGAGAGCGGGAAAGAGAAGAAAAACACAGAAAGGAAAAGGTATTTTTTGGTAGCTTCACTATGGATGTTTAGAATACATGTGAGTAGACTCAGTAGAGTGTGCCAGCAGTTTTTAACAACAAAACAAGTTTTTTAAGTTTGCAAGTACAAAATTGACACGACATGTATATAGAAACTGTAGTTGGTATAATGCTACGATAGTAGTTGTTTGTTTTTTTAACAGATCAATTCACACTTGTCATGACCAGTGGAAGAGTAGCCTCCTGTACAGACTACTTGTCCACGTGTTGCTATGTGTTACACATGTACTACTGATATTTTGCCCCCTGCAGGCCCGGAGCCAGTCCCCTCCTCGGACCCCGCCTCCCCCTCCTGCCATCCCCAAACTCACACTGAAGATGGGAGGTGACTCAGGGGGCACCAAGATGTAAGTACACTGTTTCAATAACACCTAAACTTCGTAAGATATATTTTGTTTCTATTATGTTCATATACCAAGTTAAAGGCAGGTTACAAGCTTCAGTATTCTTGTGAAAAATGCAATCTTTCTTGTTTTTTTTTACAGAGTGATAAAGACTCCCCTCCCCCCACCACCACCTGAGAGGAAGGAAAAACCACCGAAGGCAGAAAAGACTCCCAAGCCTGACAAACCACCCAAGTTTGAGAAAACCCCTAAACCTGAGAAGCCTCCCAAGCCTGACAAGCCTCCTAAACTTGAGAAAACCCTAAAGGCAGAGAAACCACCCAAGACAGACAAACCCTCAAAGACAGAAAGACGGAAGGAGCCCACATCTCCACCAAGACCCCCTCGCCAGGCCACTCCCCCTCCACTGTCCCCTTCACCCCCTCCACCACCACAGAGAGCACTGTCCCCACCTTGGCAGCCCCCTTCTCCACCAAGGAACCCTCCTACCCCTCCTCAGCAACCCATGAGTCCAGGGCCTTACCAACCCCCTCCCCCTCCCTACCCAAACCCCTATTTCTATGCCATGCAGGCAGCTATGGGTTTCCAGCAGATACCCCCTGAACCCATGTTCCAACCCCCCACTTCTCAGTTCCCCCCTCCTCCTCCTTATCAGCTCCCACCCCCTCCATACCACCCCCCTCCACCACAACCCTATCCCCCTATCACACAGGCCTTTCCTCCTGCACAAGTTCAGCCGTACCAGGAGCCTCCTCCCATGCCTACCTTCCCACCCTCTCAACCTACCCCCCTGTTGCTCCACCCCCCCAGCAGCAGCCCACTCCCCCTCGGAGGCCATCAGCAGCAGCTGCAGCAGCAGCATCAACACCAACCCCAGCTGCCCCCCCTGCACCAAAGCAAGTCCAGAGAACGGTTATCGCAGAAACCATTGGCACTATTGTGGTGAGTTCTTTTGACCTACAGTCAACCCTGACCATCATCATCAGTACTGTTACTCCTGTAGCTAGTCAGCTGTAGGGGCAGTGCAATGTTCAAACCTGTCTATAGATTTGTGAAAGAAGAAAGCTAAGTTGTTGAAACTGAAAAGTGTTTTCCCCATGTGTAGGGTCCTGAAGGAGAAACCATCTGGATCTGTCCAGCCTGTTCACGGCCTGATGACGGCAGCCCCATGGTCGGGTGTGACAACTGTGACGACTGGTACCACTGGTGAGGCTCTGTTCTCTTGTTTACTTGTTTGTTACCTTTCGGTACAATGTTCTTTCAGTCTTGTGTGTATTTTCTTGGAATTCACAGTAAATAATGAATAAATACTGTACATAGTGTCTGTCTTATCTTGTCATAACCAGTGGAAGAAAAGTTCTTCAGTGGTCTTATCTGGTTCTAAATCACTTTTAAGTTCTAACCTTCCTGTCCTCTTCCCCAGGCCATGTGTGGGAATCACAGAGGAGCCGACTGAAGACAAGTGGTTCTGTCCACGCTGCTCAGTACAGCCCAAAACTCTGGCCAAGAAAAAAACCAAGAGGAAAAAACACAAACCATAACATGGCTGTCAGCTTACAGCTGAGGTTATGAACAAGCAGAGTAAATAACTGGTTACATTGTTATGAATATTTTGTACAGTTATTAATAACATTATACAAGAGAAAAGCCAAAAACTGGTGGGGGCTAGCTAGCTGTGAACTGGTATCAGAGAGAATTATCTGTATGTAACATTTTGTAAACTCAGATCTAGAAGAATAAAAGCAACTTGTAACATATTGTATGTATTACTCGGATCCACAAATTAAAAACACAAGAGGAAACACAAACTGATATTATACAATGGTAGTAGGGGTCATGATCTGAAACCAAATAGAGCATGTTGCTAAAACATTTCAAACCCATTGTGTATCCAAGACCAATTCAAATATAAATGAATCTATTAATAAGGTACAAAATAGAAAATACAGCAGGTAACAAGAATAAACTTAAGGTTCTATCTTAGGTGCAACCAGGTAAAGAAGTGGGACTTTAGAGATCAATGTGTTGATAACATTTTGCACAGTTGTGTCTAGACATTTTTGAGCCTCCTTGGCAGGTTCTATGAGTCAGGCTTTTTTATGCGATCAGAAAAAAAAGGCATTATAATCCCCCCAAAAACTCGTCCAGCCTTCTAAGGTTATGAGAAATACAGAAGACTTCTTAAATTTTGTATGGATAAATCTTTACATGTTAACCAGTTATGAAATACATGTACTATCTATGTCTGACAACATTAAAACAGTTCACCTGAAATGAAATGTATTTAGGGGAATTAATATTTGATTTTTTTTTACAAATGGAAATTAACCAGAAAAAAGGTGAAAGTAACTTTAAACAGTGTAGAATTTTCCCAGCTGTTTCTGAATCATTATTGGTTAATACTCAGGAATAGATTAGTTGCATTAAGGAGTAGATGGTTTAGATGTACTATTACAAGAAACAAACAAGTAAATACAATGTAAGTAAATAAACAAACATTTCTTCTCAGTTGGAAGAGAAATTTTTGATCATTGTAACTACAGTAACTGACTCAATTTCTAGAAATTGTATAAAGAATATTTGGCAATATTACTGAGTCAAGACTGTGCCAGTATCATCTTTTTATTAACATTAAAAAAAAGTTGACATATTGTGACATTGAGTTACATGTACTCAAGGCATTCTAATGCAATATTATTTCCTGTCATATCCATGCTTACTCGAGATTGTGGTAAGGTGTCAACCTCCTTAGTAGGCATATCAGTTCTATTGTACTTGGTTTCTTGTGCACTCCTCACCTACTTTTAAAGGCTAGTAAGATCTCTGGGGCAGCAGTGTTGTAGATGCCTATGTGCAAGACCCTGAGGCAGCTAACCTAAGGACATGGTGAAGAGTAAATAAGGAGATTCTTTCAGCACTGGGGTACTGTAAATTCATTTATTTTATGGGGAACTTAATTTATGGATAGGAGGGGAAAGATTTTCTTTTGGTGTTTGCAGTTCGTGGTTGAAACAACCCTGCAGTATGGTAGAAATACAAAACACAAGTTTATGGATTCTTAAGAGCCTTTAATGAAAATAATAAAATGAAAAGAATTTCAAAATTTATACATGTAATAATTACTTGAGAATGATGGAGTTTGTTATTACCTGTACATACAGCATTTTGCAGGGTAATAAAAATACATGTATGTCCATTCAAACAGAAATAAATTTGATACAGGAGATTGAGCAGCAATTCTAATGTTACTGGGAACCTATTTTTAAGCATGTTTTTTTGTAATGGCAGCCTCCTTTTTCATGTAGCATTAATGTCATTTGAAAGAGCATACTTCCATGTATGTTACGTATAGCATTATTCCAGTTGCTGCACCTTCATTGTCATGTCAGATATACTTGACAGTTAATCAGATTTCCCAGTGTACTTCCACATCAAAGTAAACAGAGTTCATACTGTAAACAAGAAATGTATTGTTTTCATTTCTGGACTTAATAAAATCCATGAAGACTATTGTATCCAAGCATTGCAGTGTCCTGAATTTCTGATTATCTGTCCTTCAGATAATAGAAGTACAACATGTAAAAAAGGAAGAACAAGGCACTAACATGGCAGACTTCAGCTCCTTGCAATACTCCCTTGGGATCAAGGAGAAAGTCTAACATTTGCCATACTGAAACTTGGGACAGGAAAGGAGAAGCAAACAAGGAAGGAATTACTGTTCTTTGTACATGTATGTCGTGACTGTCAAACAAACACAAAGACTACAAAAGATAGTTTATAAAAGGGTCTGTTTTATTTTGTCGTCAAAACCGTGAAGCTACCAATGCTGGTTTCTCTCAATCCTTTGACAAGCCCTACACAATTTGACTTGTGTACAAAAATACAAACATCACTGGGTACCGGCGAAACCTACTTGCTACCATCAAGTGTCCAAAGTCATGTCTTCTCCCTCGGAAGTAGTGAGCTCATTCCTTTAAGTCTTGTTACAAGGTTCTTGCACAATAGTTCCATGCTTGCTATATCACCAAGCTATGGATTCTCTATTTATTGCATACAAATCAATTGTACTGTATGTTACATTTGTAGACAGAAGCCAACAACAACAGACATCATGATCAGTATGTTAGAGGCCTGTTGGTTTAGGCTAGGCTTGTACAAAGTTACAAGGAAATGAGAAGGTTTGTGTTTTGCCCAGGTGATGATTTTACATGCTTAAGACATAAAGTGATTATTTACTTGCAGTAATAATTGTTTCTCTGATAATTTTCATCATAGACAGCAACAGACATAATCTATCCTTGGTGGCTTGCTGGTAGTGACAGAGTTAGAGTGAGCTGAGGAGGGTTTCTGTTTTTCCCATGATGTCCTCGCGCTTGGCGGAGTACACCTTCTCGTTGTCGATGTACTGCTGCTTGCCCATCTTCCCCGCCACCACCTTCTCTGCCAGCGAGATGGACAGCACGATCTGGTCCTTCAGGTTAGAGTCCAGCTTCTGCAGCTCACCAACCTGCACAATACAACGTTTGTTTGTTTGTTTATTTGTATATCATGATAAACACCTGCTTTGCATGCCAGTTAAATTATTCACAGAATAGACAACTTTAGAATAGATCAAAGCTAGGAGTTTATGGAAGGGACTTTTCCTCAATTAACGACACGTTCAGTACTTCTTAGAGGACATTGTGTGATCATCACAAGTGTCAGACAAAGAAGGATCATCATCACAAATGGGAGATTTTTATATATAATGGCTGACATCATCACAAATAGGGAACATTACTACACTAAAGGAATGACATCACAACAAACAGGGACATTTCTACTCATTATGTACTAACATCACATTAGTCCACACAGCCCGTACCTTCTCCGCCATGTCAGTGCTCTCCAGCTTCAGTTTGCCCTGCAGCTCCTTGATGGTGCTGCTCAGCTCCTTGTGCTCCGCGTCAATCTTCTTACGACTCCCCGTGAAGCCTGCCAGGTCCTTGGTGGACTTGAACTTGGCGATGGCGTCCTCGTAGCGCTGGTAGAGCGAGGTGCGCTTGTCCTGCGCGGCCTGGAGCTGGTCCAGCAGACCCTGCATCCGCATACGGGACTCACTTGCCTCGTCCTGCAGCAATCAACAGAACAAAAAACTTCAGATACAAAAATCTGGCAGGATTTTTCTTTAAATAGTATGTTCTCCTTAAGAAATGTTCAGTACTTCTTAGAGGACATTGTGTGTTCATCACAAGTGTCAGATGAAGAAGGATCATCATCACAAAAAAAAAAAATGATGGGAAAATTTAATATAACACCTAAAGGACTGACATGACATTTCTATACCTCAAATTCTGACATCACAAACTGGTAACTTACAAGTTTATATTCCCTGTTATAGAAAGAAAAAGGATTGCAAGCAACTGTGTTCCAACATTTCCCAATTTTTTTTTAGCAAACCACTGTTGGTTACCTTGGAGATGGCGAAGTCGAGGCGGACGTAGATGATGACGGTGAAGAAGAGGATGTAGAACGCGAAGACGACCAGGAGAGGCTCCTGCAGCAGCAGCAGCTTCTGGAACGAGTAGCGGAGCTGGGGGGGGGGATAAACAGTTTCAATCCTCCATTTGCTGAAATCCTTAATATCTGTGGAGTATTACGTCACAAGGACTGACCAGCCTTGGTTCTAGGCCAGCTTCTGTTCATCCCAACCTGTATGTCACTGTCATAATATATACACTTCCAGTGGACAAACCTCTACTGTTGTGCGAACACACCATATAGTGTGGGAAGGTTTTCACTTGACTTTGAACTTCTTTACTCACAGTAAAGTCCTGGATGTGCTGCTCCACCAGGTTGGACTTGTGTGCGATGACGACGGGGCGACCAAACGTGTCCAGGTACGTGAAGTGGAGCTCATCGGGATGGCGGTCCACGGGGAAGGGCACGGACAGGTCCACATTTCTGGTGGGGAGGAACAGACTTGGTTACTTAGAATAGACTACATCGCTATTATAACTACTGCTAATGAACATTAAAGCTTATACTTACACATTCCATTCCATTCCAAAAGACAAAAAGGATTGTGGAATGTTTTGGTTTAAAAATGTTTTCTTTATATCTAAATTTATATCTAAATTTCATGAAAGTTGGATGAACGTTCTCAGAACACAAAGAATCTTTTTCGTGACCGTCTTTGCTACCTGTCTACAAGCGCCCATTAGCAATTATAGAGAGTACAGAGAACTCACTTGGACCCCTCAGGCAGGATAATCTTGACCGTGATGTCATCAATCACCTGATCATCGTAGACATGGTCGACAAATCGCATCTGGAGAGCGTACTCATCACCTGGGGCATGATGGGATAGGTTAGCATAATGTTCTCACCAGCACTGGTGTTTGACAATTGAGCGCTTGAAAATTATAACTCCTGTTTTTCGATTAAAATACATGTATGTACACTGCAATGCAAAGACAACAATTCACCACTTAAGAAGACAGCTACACGCACACAGCTCTACTGACCTGAGTTGTACAGGTACTCGTAGCTGGGCAGGTTGTACCCGATATAGTAGTGGGTTTTCCAGCCGCCGAACAGCGGGAAGCGGGGACGCAACTCCAGCTCAACGGCGTCGTCCTGCTCATTCAGGTTACTCGTGGAGATGTTCCCGATCTCGTCACGGTAATACACATCACGTGCCGCGGCCGGGAGGATCGTCTGTGATGGGAACACGAGATAGATGTTAGGAATCTGAACTAGACAACAGTTACTGGTACACAGAAACATGGAGATGTACATGCACACAGATGTACATATACACAGCCTTGCTGCTTGACTTTGACAGACCCTGGGATCAGTCCTCTCGTTCACTTAAAATGTTTGACAGATGTGGGGTGTCTTTTTCATAGGACCACATTTGGACATTCACAAGTTCCAGTTGTTATCTAAACCACAATGTTGCACACCAGCTTCAAAAGCAGGTTGTAAAACCTTTGAAGAAAAAAAAAAACAAGGGTGTCTGGGCTCCATCAAATGACCAACCCATGGAGACAGCTGGCCATAGTCTAAAAACCCAGTCTGTTCTCTAGCACACCTACAGGCTACACACCCACCCACCACACAGTCTGTAGTGACAGGTGACTGTGTGTGTGCTATAGAAATTGTGTGTGCTCTGTAGAAATTCCTTACATACCAAACTGTACTTACCAAACTACTACACATTACTAACAAATCACTTTGTCAGAAGCTATTAAAATGAACCAACTAAAACCCGCAAATTGTCCCCACCTTGAAGGACTTGACGGAGGACCTGCCGTCCAGTTGGCGCTGGTAGTCGTAGCGAGAGAACGAGCCCTTGAGGCGGGCGCCTGAGTGGCGTACATCGTAGGTTTCCTCCACGGCGATGTTTCCCCAGTGTGAGACCTCGATCACGCGTACCAGGCTGGTAACCGCGAGGAATGGCGTGTTGTTCTCATAGTGGATCTGCAGCTTCTCCTGCAAGAACAAAATATGTAAAAATGTAACTATGCACTTTGGCTGCTAATAATAATATAATATTATTTTACTTCCAGTGCTCTACTCAGGTCTTACAGTAACAGACTGCTACACGACAGTTTCAAACTCGAGTCCTGATTGATATAAGAGACTCTCTCCTGGACCTTTCCTTTATTTCTAAAATTTCTCAACCTCCATATCTCATTTCCTTTGCAAACCTCACAAAAATGCTTCATCCTGTAATATTTTCCTCCAACAGAAGGGCTCTACAAGTTGTAGAGTTCAAAGATAATCAGACTCAATTCTTCATGTTACCTTTTAAGATGCTCTAAACCATGACAACAGAAGTTCCTTACCTGAGAGAAGGCCTCGACATTCTCGAACGGTCCATACACGATGGAGCTGTCCTCGACCTTGGCCTTTGTCTTGGTGTGTGACTCGATCTTGTTGGAGGCGAGTTTGACAGTGGTGGTCTCAGACTGGGTCTTGTAGGGGGAGTAGAAGTGCAGGTTTCCCTTGAACAGGACCAGCTGGTCCTCTGCCTGGGTGATTTGGGCGGGATATGGGGTCTGTGCGTGGGTGTACGCCTCCTCCACGTTCACCGTGGTGGACTGACCAGCGCCCAGAGCCTTGGGTAGGTCCACACGGAACAACACATCCGTGCTGCAGGGGACAGGAAAACGGTTTTAGCATAGGTAGCTGTCAGAAAAGCTTCGAATTCAGTCAGGAAATTATGTGTCTTTAAAAGTTTAATTTTTCAATCAAGATGCATTGAATACATCAACTTTTGGAAAAGCTAGTCTATCATTAAAACAAACTTCATAAAAATTCTCATAGCTTGGCTTTGAATTTTTGATAATTTTACCATTAGGTTATTTCAACAAACAACTTTTAGGATTGAAAATTTTGCAGCGTCGCGGGAGTTAACCCTTGACCCCACCGCCCAGCTGACACGTCGACACAACATGGCGGCCGCCATGAAGCCGGAAAATAATTTTTTTTCTCATGTAAGATTCTGTCCTCTAAACCGTAAACGGTAAATCATGTATGTACATGCGATCAAAAGCATTGCAAAAACTCACTGTTTCTATCAAAATAATACACTGCTCTACTCAGACTTGTGGTAAAGTAAATTCTATCTGTTGTCGTGGCACAAACATACCCCCGGCCCCGCCCTCCCCACCAAGATGCACAGAAAATATTTAGTTTCTCAATCTTACGTTCTTCCTGGGACGGTCGTCTGGGTGACGGACAGCTTTTCTGCTTCGTCATCCTTAGTCTGAAAAAATAGCAGCGGAAATAAATTCATAAATCAGACTGAACTTAGTTGAAACGCGTCATCGTGAAATCTCAAAACACATCTCGCACTCACTTGAATACGCAGAAAAATAATACAAGCAAGCAGAATTTGTGACCTCTGATGCTTACCGTCGCTCCAATAAAAGACAGTCTATCTCTCAAAGAAGGATCGATGGCCAGCACGAAGGAAGTCGTGGCAGTTTTGCCTGCATTTTCCAGAGTGATGGTGGTAGTGAATTTTGCAAGTTGCGACGTGAGGTCGATCTGTCGGTTGACGGCCGAGTTTACGAGATCGCCGCCGATGGCGCCCTGATTAGCCGTGCAGCATGAAGCTAAGAGTGCCCCGAAGATGACCAACTCGTAAGCTGCACGATTCATGGTGACTGAAGGGAGGATGGAGGCGGATGGTGAGAAGGACTTCACCGGCAAACCTGCACCAACAATGGCTACAGGTAGAGAGGGCTCATTAGCCTCGTTTTCACCAACATTACCCCGCTGTTAGCGCCTCCTGGCGACCATATTGTGAATAGCACGGTTAGGATTGCAATGAACTGCATATGAACTTTTAATTTAAATCAATGACATTATAAAGAATATATATACTTCTGTACAATGTCCTTGCTTAAATCAATAATTTTTCTGAAGCTTATACGTACTAGTATTCAGTTCCAATGTAAACTACTTTTGGATTAACAATTTGTAGGCATTGCATATTATTGGACAGTCAGTCACATCCTTTGGCAGATCATAAAGAAACTGCACTGTTGAAACACAGACAAACCAAAAACAAGCCATTTAATTAATAGCTTGGAGCAAAGTAACAAGACTGAAAGAAAACAGACTTCAAATATGGATTCATTTTTATTTGCATTTGGCTAAAGGCTGTACAGCATTTCTTAATAATAAATATCATTTTATTGTATATGAACACAGCACTTACCATATCATCGCATTTGTATACAACTTCAGACATATACAATTCATCTATCATTACAGTAATAATACAGCTCATATTCTTATTCTCTTTGTTTTACATTCTCTTCTGCACCAATGTGGTACAATAGAATTTCCTTACTTCGAAATGTGTTACAAAGATCAACTTAAAATAGTTTATTGTATTTTTACAGCATGTTTTTGTATTATATCATTACCCCACTACATGTAGATCTAGTATAGATTAAAATCAGCACGCTGGTGCAGTGTACACTTAGGTCTAAGAAAAGGTGAGTTTGTCCTAGAAGAGTACTTGGAGAAAACAGGCATGTAAGTAGACAGGATGGTGTGAAGATGCTTCTTAGAGCAGCTTGGGCACCTCAAATAGTTGTGTTTGTCTGCATCACAACTTTGTGTTTTTCTCTCTGTGAAAGTTTGAAATGATATTTTAACTCTGGTGAAATGATGTCTATCAATGCAACAATTAGGGATGATCTAAGATTTGACCTACAACTGCCTAACCTTGTGACCTATACAGGTTGGATGCCAAAAGGCTACTTCAGCAAAGATAAGGTTAAGATCAGGTCTGATGTAAAAAAAAAAGAAAACACTGCATTTTTTTGCTTTTGCAATTACATAAAAGAGGAGGATGAAGTTAGACAAAGACTGATGCAATACACACAAATAAACAAAAGTATTTCTCAAGTGAACAAATAGACTAAAATGTAATTGTAACAAGCAGATTTGTCAGTAGAAAATGCAAACATATACATATATCAAATTGTGAAGAAAACCATTTGTGTACTTATCCCCTTAAAGGAAGCTGGGATCTGGACATACTGCAGTGTGAGGAACTCATTTTGGCAATACATGTGTGTTTGTGTATGATTAAAGTAGATCTACATCTGAAAGACTCTGCTTCATTCTACCAGGTCAAATACATCTAAAACTTAAGAGATAAAGGCACCATCATACCAGCAGTATGGGAGATACCATTGGTTGAACCCACATTGAGAAACTTTCACATTTGCTAAAAAGATGGAAGTGTTGCAGTTTCAACATGGATATGAAAAAATGATAAAATCTGCCACGACCACATTCTTATTTCTTAAAGCACATGGACGGATTGATCAAGCTAGCATGGTTCTACTTACTTTGGAGAGATTTGATGGCTTGGTGTCTACAGCTAAACACTATACTTTTTTTAAAAATGTGGAAATAAGTAAACACTTTTCAACCTGTTCTTGCCACAATGTTGTCCAGGAAGAGCCTGTATTGCACCTGTTATAGGAACCAGCTGCACAAAAGAGACATCAGTTAACAGCCCCACCATAGGCCAGTGCTTAGGAGCTTCCTTATTAGATGTCTACAGTCAAACCTGTCTATAATGACCACTCAAGGGACTCTGAAGAAAATGATTTTAGTATACATGTATAGGCAGGTGGCCATTATAGACAGGATTCTTAATGATTGGAACAATGTGGAAAATAATAAAGGGAACACCAGTAAGAGTATGAGTTGAGGATGGAGAGTTCTCAGTAAGTGTATGAGTTGAGGATGGAGAGTTCTCAGTAAGTGTATGAGTTGAGGGTGGGGAGTTCTCAGTAAGTGTATGAATTGAGGATGGGGAGTTCTCAGTAAGTGTATGAGTTAAGGAAGAATAGTTCTCAGTAAGTGTATGAGTTGAGGATGGGGAGTTCTCAGTAAGTGTATGAGTTAAGGAAGAATAGTTCTCAGTAAGTGTATGAGTTGAGGATGGGGAGTTCTCAGTAAGTGTATGAGTTGAGGATGAATAGTCGATCCTCCTCCTTCTTGATCCATCGCAGCAGCTTGTTGATAGCATTGATGGCAGCCGGTTTGGTGACCAGTGGGCCGAAAGTTGCGTACAGCTCAAAACCTGAGGTGATCTGAAACACAGATAAATTGACATATTAGACTACACCATCTCAAATATCAAAACTATAATGCTCATCATTCTGGTGATAATCAGTACATGTACCTAGCTTTATTTTCGGATATTCTCTTGGATGGGATGTAAACAGAGATCCTGTGCTGAGGAGAGCCAAATCATAAGTGTAGGAGTGGTGTGAGTGGATCAAACCTTATGGTCTGGTCTTACATAGCGTATTTGCTGTACAAAACTGGTGGGTTACACCTTAAGGTTGTGTATCATTTATGTAAAATAAACTGTTCCATGTATGTGTACGTACCCATCCTAGCATGGTCTCCTTAGACCCCACATGGAAGAGTATCTTCAGTGGCCGGGCAGAGTTGTGAACCCTATGGTGCAGATATTGGTACATTCCAAACAGGCGATGCCTCTCTCCCTCCTCTGTAACATGGAAAATAGAACTTAAGTTCAAGGTAAAGAAAAGTTGGCTGGATAAGCAAATCTTTTCCTCACCAAACTGACAGAAATGCCCTAAGCTATGACTACTGCATACTTTCATATGCAGGCTAGTTCCTGGACCACTCACCCATATATGGTGCCTCCAGCTCAGAGCTTGTGTACTGTGCTGTGCTCTTGGACTTGTACATGAAGTGTCTGAGGTCCGGGATCCCGATCTGTGCGACCTTGTACGACCCTTTGCTGAGGGACTCGCGGACAGCCTGCAGACAGCCATACTTGTTCAGCCGTGTCACGATCTTCTGTCGCGCCTCCGACAACTCGAAGAAAACATCCCTGTCAGCGGAGAGCAGCAGCAGGCAGGCAGAACACTCCTCATCCAGGTAGGACACGTGTGCATGGAGATACCTGGGATGTGAGAGGGTACAGGCAAGTTTCAACCTTGTTCATAACAATATGTACATACTATACACATTCTACAAGTACACTATAAACATTGTATACACTATACACATACATGTACTAGTAGTACATTTACCACGTGTGTAGGACATGTGTATTTAAACCTGTAACGTTACTGTACCCCATATCATAATACAGGTATCATTTACAAGTAAGCCGTTGTTCGAAGTATACAAGTACAATGTACAGAAAGACAGACAAACTTCACCAGAAATATAAGACAACATCGCCATACCCATTAGAGTTGAACTTTGGCAGACAGATGGGTGTCCAGGACTCGGCAGACTGGAAGGACGTGGAGGCGTCCACCAGGTTGAACACGAGGTGCAGGTCGGCAGGGTGCAGGCTGTGCTCCTTCATCCGCACCACCGTCACCAGCTGATTGTCGCGCCCAACCAAGATTGCAAACACCAGATCTTTTGCCTTTGCCTGCGCTATGCTCTGTCCGATAATGTCACGTATCGAGCTGGCCAATGGCAGACACCGTACTGCACTCAGCAAAAACATGGCGTCACGGTCCATGAGGTTGATGAGGTTGTCTAAGAACTTCTCTGTCCCCGTCAGGAGTCTCCTTAAGTCATAGTTGCGCTTCTTCTCAAAGATCTTGCTGAGCTGGCTGAAGGTTAAGACGCTGATGATCTGATTGTAGACATAAGTAAGGTGCAAGAGAAGCTGCTGGGTTGACTCTGCGCTGTGAGCCACACACACCAGGATAACAGGTGGCCTGTTCAGGAACACGAACTTGTGACTGCCAGCAATCATGAACCTGAGAAATGAAAAACATCAGGTTACAAAAAATATCCAATATTACAAACCAGATCAGTATCCGGGATTTGAACCCCAAACCCTCTGGTCCATACGCAGGGTTACCCTTACAATACCAGTAGACACACTACCATGTTCTCACCTGATGTTGTCATCATTATCCTGTACAAACGAGACCAGTGCCTGCATCACCCCCATCGTCGTCACCAGCTTGTCCTCGTTACCGTGCCGCGTGTAGATTGGTTTTCCCGCTTCGCTGAGGATGAAGACATGTTTCTGTCGCTGCCTCCACTCCGGGCTGTAACACTCCTCCTCTACATGCTGTGGTCGGTCCCTGTTTCCTAACATACTGTTTGATCGCTCCTTCCCTTCTGCTGACACCTCCTCCTTTGGCGTTTCCCTTCCCTCGTCACTCGGGGTCGTACTTCTGTCATCGATGCTCAGTTTTCTCACAGACTGCTCAATTTCGTTTTTACCCTTGTCCTTTTCATCTCCGACTTTCCCGCGTTGGTACTGCTCATCGATTGCAACATTGATGTCTTCATAAGACTCGGCTGCGATGAGCATGTGGTCCTCGCTGGCACCGGGTGCACTGCCCTCCATGTCATCAGGCGTGACCTCCACGATCGCCTCGGCAGGAGGAAGCTGCTGTGCTGGGAGGGTCACTTCAGCAGTGGCAGCCATCTTGGATGCAGGCAGTCACTGAAACAGCACAGACAAACAGGCAATCAGAGATGGCAGACTTCAGCCCCTTGGATAGTTTAGCACCCCCAGGCAGAACATGCAAGAAATGCACAGAAGAAGCACACACACAGGCAGATACTCAGACAAGCAAAAAATAACGATCAGACTTCATTCTTTGGGGATGGATAACAAGACAATGATGAAGACTTGGATAGATGGATACAAGATTCAGTTGATAAGAACCTATTAAATCCACCTGTAGTGCACTTCTCTCATAGCTTGTGCCCCAGTGGTGATACATGTGAGTTTTTAAAATGACAGATTCTCTTAAACTGCTAATAACTTGTTATATGGGTTAGAAGTCGATTCCAGTACATATATTTCAGTTTTACTATCCAAAACCTTTGATCCACTACGGGAGGTCACATGACAAAGCGGTGGGTCAGTCATCTTGCAGAAGGCTGGAGAATCTGATTTCACTGAAGTTCGAACATAATTCTAGTTTCCTTTAATGAAATGCGAAGCTTAATGTTTTCGTCACGCAATCAAATCTTCAGATTATTACCCAATACATCTTCTCAAAAACAAGAAGGTCCTGGTGCTTGCTTCTACTTACAAAATGTATAAATTAACGTTATAACGTTATTTGATTATGAACAAACACATGTTAAGATGTTGCTTATGTCCGAGAATATTTGGAGATGTGATAAATCTACGTCACAATTACGGGCAAAAAGCGTGGCACTGGGCTGAGGTAATCTGGGAAATAGATTTTTTTTTTTAATTTGATGATTTGGGGCTAAATATCTGATGTAAAGGAAAAGGCGGGGCTTAGCAGAGATCACGAGCGAAGTACCGGTCTGACCGGTAGATTTTTATCATTAAATACTAGTGTAATCTAACAAAACAGCATAAAAATGGTACGGGGCGTGTATGTAGAACCGTACAAACCTGTTAAAATCGTAATCGTTGGACACGGGACAGTTTAAAACCTGTAAAATGGGAGAAATTTGTGGTGAGAGTCCGGCTCGACATGTTAGGCCGCCATGTTGGATCCTTCCCGTGATCCACATTCATTGGGACGTACGATTAGCAAAATGGGTAAAATAATTACATTTTAGATGCGATAAAAGAAAATTTATTTGCCTTACAGATTGATTACAATATTTTATCATTCATAGATTTTTAATCTGAAGTACCATTTGTCACATTTCGTTACATATTGATGAGTAAATGTCTAATATACTTTGTAGAACACCCCTATATTAGTGTGAACTTTACTGCCTTTCCAAAACCGGAAATGGAGGCGTGACTTCCTGTGAAAACTTTGGTACAGAGAAAGGAGAAAGTCCGGACTTGTGGGGAAGTTTGCTTCTTCAGAAACTCTTTTCTGCCGTTACCGTGCCTTTGAAAACAACCCTACGGCCGCGATAGTTTTGTTTTTAGCGTTTTGCACCTTTAGATGTAGTAGAAATCGACAATCCGTATGTTTTTATGCAGTTGTATTCGTCGGCGGAAAGGAGGGCTAAATGGCCGCGGGCCGAGTTATGATTAGACCGAGTATTTACAGCAGAAGATCCTAGCAAAAATGCAGTCCAAGGAGCACCTCACAGCCTTCGTCCGTGCGGTCGAGGAATTGGAGAAGACCAGCGCGGACGGCGTGGACGGATTCGCTCGGGAATTCGCGGTAAGTTTTCGTACGATTTTTTAGGCCGAATTTTTTCAGGTTCTGATTTCCTGTTTCCACCACTTCCGCGTCTCTCGGCCAGGCTGTGAGCCCGCTCGTGCGCCGAGTGACCTCGCTAGGTATGGGCAGAACTACTTTCATTTTCCCGCTAGGAGGGAGGGCTTATTAAACATAACGGTAGTCAAAATATACAGCTGTTTATCCACACCATTGAAAAACGTCGTGATGTAGTGAATTTGCGGCTCGACTTTTGTAATACTCTCAGCCTCTCAGGTCGACATTTTCCTTTTAAATATCACCATTTTCTGATGATGGCCAGTTTTTTGAATGACAAACCTTTAACAAACGACAGCAAATCACTAGGAAACAGTTGTCATCCAAAAATGTTGGAACTAAGAGACCGACAGGGGACAGCATGTTTCCGAGGCTGACACACACAGCAGGTTGTTCAATGGTGCGTGAAGATTTTCCATGATAGCAGCACGTCCTGCTGATAGTCAGGCCTGACAATTAACCGGACAGATGGGAGACGGACCGCCGTGTTAGGGGCGTGGAAAGGGTCACGGGGTGACTACCACCAAATACATGTTTGTACTGGTGCATCAGAATACTGGCTAGAAATTGAAGTTACAATGATCCATTTAGAATCTATGGTTAATTGCTTTGAGTTAGAGAAAAAGTTCATCAAAGAAACAAAAAAATGTCATGTAAATCTGATATTGTATAATTAGAAAGACATTTAAATTTTGAGCCTTTGGCTTGTTGTATCAGATTATATAGAAACATCACAAAGATTTACAAACATAACTATCAATAGTTAATTCTACTTTGAATTTCTAGAATCTAGCATATTGGCTTATGAAGTTGAAAAAGAGCCAGGGGTGGATCACATGTTCATATGATATTGTCAGATCAACCATTGTTAAAGTTGAAACATACTTTTGTAGCTACAGCATAACTTGTGTCGTTATTAAGTTGAGAAGGGTCAGGGGTGACCCTCACAGACCAGTAATGCCACATAGTTTCACCATTACTGCAGGAGGAAGTGGGTAGTACATGGTCAGGCATCCTTCTGACCCATGTGTCACTGTAACTCTGCCTTATGTTAAGTTGTAAACGGTCACAGGCTGACACACATAGACTAATAAGTCACGTACTTGTATCCTAATGGTTTTGTGCTTGTCATGCTCTGGCTTATTTCTTTACCCATGTGTCATACAGGGTTCTCCCTGTCACCATGGAATAAATAATGGCATGGAATCAACAATGGCATTGCACCATCTTGTTATGATGTCAGCAAGTGTACACTTGGGTTGCAAGTGTACTCTCATGACCAGCTAACTCCTCTGGCATAATATTCAGTCTATTTGCGCAATTTCTACTATTTTCTCCGCAACCTACTAGAAATATGTATATCATTAGAGTCTGGTAGAGACTAAAAATCTATCAGACTCAGAATCAGAATTTGCTTGTCTTGGGCCACATTTCACCGACCCAGAGAGCACCATCTTTCTCTAAATTTCTGGAGAGAACCATTTCTGAAGAGAACCGTGCCATGTGATATTTTGTTGAAAAGAGTTCCCAGGATGACTATCATACACCACTGTACAGTCACAGTCATAGTCCAGCTGCAGAGCAGAAGCAGAACTCGACTTGTGTGACAAAACAAAAGTCGAGTACAAAGAAAGCAGGAAGCATTGCCAACAAAAGAAAGTAGAGGGAGCCAGAAGGGAACAGGTATGTATGATAAAGATTAGACAGTCTGCAGATCAAGAACAGATAACAACAAAGAAACATTATAGCCAATAGGGCTGGAACTACACACCTACAAGACTCCATAACTATATCAATAAGAGTAGAGGTATGCCCTTTTGTATGATGGCCAAAATCTGTTGTCAAGTCTATTTCATCATCTTTGATACTGCTTAGCCTTCTAAAGAGAAGATTACTAGCAGCTGCGCATTAATACTGTGTTCAAAGTGCAAACAAAGGGTAGGGTAGGGGTAGACGTGGACAAGTGCAAGGACAGGACAAGTGAAATGTGGTGCTAGTGTTACACATATTTACATATGTACACGGACAGGGAGGCAGCTCAATGCAGCGAAGCCCGTCCCAGCTCAGCTTTGAACTGGGAGATGGACTTCGCCTCCGCCACACTAGGCTCAAGTTCATTCCACTCCTTGATGGTGCGAGGGAAGAACGAGAGCCTGTAATTATTAAATAGCCTGTATTTAGACTATTATCTAAAGGAAAGTCCCAATTTTAAGGCTTTTTCCCAGTTGGTTGGCCATACCAACATAACATAAAACTGAATAAACACAAGAAATTTGTTATGCTATATTAAGGAACCAAAGAATGGATTTGATATTGCCCTTTCCTTTCATGGATGTGACATATGGCTGTCTGGAGCTCAACTGTTAGTCGAGAGATAATGAATAAGGCTTGTGGTTAAACAACTGTCACTTCAGCAACATCTCTTCTTGTTATTCATAATTCATGACATGAAATGAGGAAAGGTGAACAACTAAGAGAGTGAGTAGAATGACCTTAAGTGTTCAAAAATGCAATACATGTATCTTAGGATACATAAGTGTCCCTACATGCCCACATGTCTCTCACATGTTTTCATTCTGTCTGAAAAACAAGTAAATTAACTGTGATGGCTGACTGGAAACTTTCACCTCATTAAACCACAAAAGACCATCTGTCCAATAATGACATCACAGTTCAACTGGAACGCTCCAGGCTTTACTGTGCCATGTATGGTTACCAGGTTATGCACAGGGCCAGTATATGGTACATAAGTTACATTATTACAATCTAACCCTCAGTGAGCTCCCACAGTTGATGATAAGACTTGATTTTGTCAGGATGAAAGTCCAGTAAGTTTCCTGGTAACATAAAGTGGAGAGGAGGTTGTTTAATTGGCCCCATGAATGATAAGCAGGGCAGATGTTTGAGTAGTGAGATATGACAGTGGCAACCTTTGACCAGTGGACTGGACATGTATACAATGTACCTGTTTGACTGTCTATGTCTATCTTTGTATAGCAGTCAAAGTGGAATATGACAGTGCTAACCTTTGATCAGTAATACTACATTGTACACATCTATACCTGTTTGGCTGTCTAGGTCTATCTCTATATAATAAAGAACTTAAACCACAAATTTGGACAGTCATTTTCCAAACTTCATAAGGAGTCACCATGTTGGAAGCTCTGTATTTCAACCTTCCATGAAAAACATCAAGACCGACAAAATTAGCTCATGAAAATACATTCATCTGCAGAAAATATTTTTTAATCCGAAGCCTGCTTACTCAATTAATAAGGTAACAGGACACAGCAGCTGTTGTTTTTATTAGTGACTGTGTCCCACTCAGTTTATTGCTTCAGAGGAGTCAAAGGCCATGCACAATTTTTCTTTGTAGGACACAAGAATGCAATGTGTCGGTTCTCGGATTGAAGAAAAAAATCATCCAAAACTAGAAGACCAAGATGGAAACAGAGCTCAAGAGGGAAGCTTATACCTTGGTACACACAGGTTCAGGGAGTAAAAATACCGTATACTATATTGAAAAAGATAGATTTAAAAACTTTTTCTCATTGCTCTGTTTCCATCTTGGCATCTTCCTGGCCATCCCCAATTTAGAATCTCTGAGAACCAAGGATTTAGATAAGCGTGGCCACAACATGTCTTTAAATAACCTGTTATCCAGAGATATCCCAAACATGCCAGCCTCTCACCAGGTCCCTCCCCCCTCCCCATGTCATAAACATGACTGAGACTCAGAGTGACAATCTGTCAGCAGGTGCAGGGGTCAGGTCAGGTCGGGTCAGGTCACAGGTTGACCCCTTCGCTGTTGATTTCCCAGCTGAGACAATTTACTATCAAAAGCCACAACAATTCACTTTGGAACTTGAAGGTTTGCAGATTTATGACAATAATGTTGAACTAGAACATCAACATGAAAACAGAAGGAAAAGTATGTGCCTTGGTAATCATACTTACCCTGGAGTCAGTATGATTTAATTTAATAAAGAGAATTAGCAGTTAATAGTTACCGGTAGTATTGGTATGGTTCTGCCCTATTAATGATTTGATATGTGATGACAGTGATGTAGCCTGTGGTGTTTTCATCACCATGTGGTAAAGTATGTGACACAGAGTAACACTATCAATAGCAATATAGATGACATCCTAACAGAGACCCTGAGAAATTACTCTAGCTGGTCAGTTGAAATATGAGAAGAAATTTGTAATGAAAAGTTTATTGATTTAACTTTTACCTTATAGTCTCTGCAGGACTCACCAGTTTGAAGCAGTGTAATTCTAACATGATAATTCACAAACCTGGTAGACTGTCCTTTTGTCCAGACCATGTCATGACCTCCATGTACATTACAACTTCAATTATGTGAGTGAGTGAGTAAGTAGGTGACTTCAGACAGACTTGTGGCACGCTTTCGTGTAGCTAGGACCTGATCTGTAGATGGGGCTAAGTAAGCAATGTCACATCTAACCGTATATCATTTTCATAATGGTCACTTTCAAAATTAACACAATCTTCTTAAAAATCTTAAGAACTTCTCAGCCTGTATTCTGTTCTTGAAGGTGTGTTTTGAATTACACACACACATGACATAACCTGAAATGAAGAGCTGTGTGGTATGTTCTCCTGTGACCTTGTGTAGGTGTGGTGTTGTTGGTTCCCAGCCTTGAGACAACTCCTGTCACAGAACGTGACGTCTGTTTGTGGACACATTTCTAAAGAACTGGCTTGGGGCGAAGATTATACAGACACTGCTGAAATGTCAAAAATGCAGTTGTGAGGGCTTGGGGCTTGTCCTCAGATGGGTGCAAATGTTTGCCTTACAAGTTACACAAGTTTATTAGATTTACTGTCTAATTAACTTTGCTGATTGGATGTTTGGTAAACAAGAAATTTACTGACAATCAAGGCTGTAATTAAGTTGTATGTGACAATTCATGACTGTTTAACCTCTTCCCTGCTGCCTAATACCAATATCAATTTAGTGCCCATGTTTAAAAGGCTACCTTAGTAGGTTCAAGGTTAATGACTGTTACATGTACAATTAGTATTCTATTTGACCATACCAGTTGAATTTCTTGGTTTTCAGACACAAGTGATATACATGTACATGTATGCACGTCAAGAAAACAGTTACTCAAGTTATACATTTAATAGCAAGTGGACCTCATGTAAACAAAGAGCTCGAAGGAAATCTGAATCAGACTACCCTACTTAGTACATGTATATAACAACTCCATGAAACTGTGTGTTCCAACACATTCTCTTCAGGCTCTGTTTTCATGTTGATCTCAGAATAACAATGTAAATCTTCCGGTTCAGCATTTTTTCCCAACTCTATTATGGGTAGCACCAACAAATTGAATTGTTGTAGCCTGAATGTGAGGTCTCCCAACTTTTGATGTCAGGATCTTGGGTTGACCTCACTTCCCCCTGTCTCTCTGCCTGCCAGCCCATATATAGTGCCAAATATCCACAGGCCCACCCAGCACGCTGTGGGTACAGATCTACAAGGTTTGATGGTATCAGTGCCCACCAGTTTTAGACTCCCATTTCTTCAGCTCAGGCCATCAGCAAGTTAATGACAGTGTTAACTAATAATAAACAAAATTTCTTCAGCTGAGTTCAGTTGAGTTTATCAGTTAAGAGTGTTCTCATGCTGCCATTCACTCTTTTATTGATGACAGAAATTAATCTGAAAGATATTCTAGTAATTTCTACATGTAGATGACTGACAGTTTCACTGTCCTCTACTATTACCAGATTACCACTGCATTCAGAGAGTTTTTTTTTTCATTGTTATGTGCTGTCTATATGTATATCTTTTGGCCTGTAATCTGTGAAAATAGGGTTGAAGATGTCAGGTATTATTTTACTATGTAGTTTTAATATAAACCTGCTAATAAACCTTTATTTAGGTATATCTTAATTTTGAATGTGTATGCTCTTGTGTTTCTATAGAAACTGAAGCAGCAGTCGATGCAGTACAAGTTAGACAAGACATACTCCACCACTCATGGAGAGAAGGAATGTAACAGGAGGAAAAACAGATACAAGGACATCCTCCCATGTAAGGAGATTTTACATGTTGTTTTACTCTAATTTGTTAATTCTTTTGGCCCTTCTTTCCTTCTATCAATCATCCATTTTTTTTGTTTATTGACAATGCACATAATGATAGTATCCTTCTTTCATTGCGTGTATGGTCATAACTTCGAATTCATGACTCAGTCATATGGTACTATTTTGCCTATAATACTAGGATCCATCCTTCCTTTTTCCCTTATTTTATTTTCTTCCTTTTGTCACAACATTAATAATGATATTTATTATATCAATGACTGTAGAGGTATTCATCCCTCCTTTAAGCTATGGTGTATTTCCAGGGTATTTTCACTACAAAATGACCAGTGTTAGAAAATGAACTAGCTGATAACAAAACTGTATTTTTGTATATTTTGCAGTCGACTATTCCAGAGTTCAGCTGTCAGAGGTCAAAGGCACTCCAGGGTCAGATTACATCAATGCCAACTTTCTGAAGGTTTGTGATGTCATCCCCCCTTTTTTATTGATAGACCAATCAACATGAAGTATGGACCATTCAGCAAGGAGTAGAAAATTTGCAAACTCGATCACTGCAGTTCAACATCATGGTTTAATTTCACACTTACAGATGGCAACCAAAATAAATCAAGAGATCAAGTTACAAATATGCTTTTTATGCCATCACTTAATGTCGTCACTCAAAGTTCAAGATTTAAACTAGAGTTACAGCTAGTAGACATTCTGTTCTCCACAAGTATTCACCAACAGTTACTGATGTCTTCTCCCAGGGAGCGACAGGAAAGAGAACGTACATCGCATCACAGGCACCACTCCCTGCCACGGCTGTGGACTTCTGGAGAATGCTGTGGGAATACAACGTTAAGGTGGAACATTGATAACTCACAAAACATTGGTCTATTTATTTATTTTTCTTGTTGGTTTAGCAATAACATTACACAGCCAGGGCTGCACAAGTAGCTTGTAGAAAACAGGCTGAATTATGGCACAATCTTGTCTGAATGATTCAATACAAAAAGGGAAACTTGTATGTATTCTGGGCTGCTGTATTGAGTTTCAATCTTGTATTCCTCACAGAGTAGCATGAATGACTGTTCATTGTACATAGTACATTATATACATGTAGAATGATATTCAATCTTTTACGCAAAAGAGTTGTTGGAAACGTGAAGATGGTGTCTTGTTTGCAGGTTGTGGTGATGGCTTGTCGGGAGGTGGAGCAGGGGAAGGTAAGGATGGACATTCTTCTGTCAAGCTTTCCTCATAGGGACTCATCAGGAAATGAGTAACACCTCGTTGTGATGTCTTACACATGCGCAGCTTGTACCTACTGTACAAAACTTGTGTTTTATGCCTTAAGACGGTTTACTGGTTATGTGAAACAAACAAACAAATAAAATATGTTCTCTGCTTTACAAGTCATGTACATTGTGTAAGAAATAATGGTGAACTGAAAGATCAACATGAAAATAGAGTCTATGGCAAAGTTTGTGCTTCATGCACTAAGCATTATCATATTTTTTTAGATACGAGAACCATTGCCTTACAGCCAACTGCTTACAACTGACAACAGATTTGAGATTTGACAGTTTTTGTATTTTGTGGTAATGTGTGTAGAGTATAACTGTTGTGCCTTCCCACAGCACAAGTGTGAACGTTACTGGGCCAACAGAGGTGAGGAGAAGACCTTCGGTGACATCACAGTTACCATGGTAGGTACCTGCTCTTCTTTTGTGCTGCAACTGGCCTTGTTACATGTATGGGTTCAACTGTAACAGTTAACAGCTTTTTTGAATCTTATATTATCATATCAACCAGTTGTGTTTTGTTGGGTTTCTCACTGAAATGTGGGCAGTATGACGAAAAAAGGACTAGTAGGAAATGAAATTGACAAAAGGATTTGTTGATTTATTTTTTGTTTTCCTCCTTATAAAGGTGTATAATGTGGTCTTTGTCAGCTGAGGAATAGCTCTTTGAATTAGCAGCAGGCCAGTCAGTCAGTTGCTGTCTGTTTTTGACAGCTAAACTGGTAAAAAAAAAACAAGAACAAATTTTATTCTGTGTATCTTCAACATTTTGCTTCTCTTTCAGGAGGACCAGAGTAAGATAACTGACGACTTCTTAAGACGGATCATCCTGGCTAAGAAAGGCTCTGTAAGTACTTCATGTCTTAAGATTAAGTTTTACTGATGTTTCTCATGTTTGACATTTGTACATAGTCTACTATAAGCAGCCATCATTACAAATAACAAATTTGTCACTTGACATACTAGATATTTGCTTGTGTGTCTGTAGGAGACCCGACAGCTGGTCCAGTTCCACTACACTACATGGCCGGACCACGGCGTACCGCTGTCCCCGCGATCCATCATCGACCTCATCAGGCAGTTCCGGGAGGTCCAACCCACCGACGACAACCCCATCTGTGTACACTGCAGGTAGGTAGTGTGGTGTTTTAACAGTTACCAGCAGTCCAACCCACTGACATTTTAACAGTTACTGACCAGATGGGATGTTAGGTAGGCGGTCGCATGTTAAAGGAGAGGCACACCTCAAGCTTGTTTAATAACCCACCAACCTATAAGACAGGGGTACATGTCTACATGTATGTGGGATAACTCAACACAAACCTATTAGGACTGTACAGCTTGTATTTAGTCCGAGTGCAAAATTGGTATGCTATACAATAAGGAGATGTAACCAGTAATGCACTTAAAACATCACATTTTTTAAAAACTCAATTTTTTTTAAAACTTCAGTGCTGGCTGTGGAAGAACTGGCACCATCTGTGCCATAGACTACACCTGGAACCTGCTGAAGAAGGGGGTAAGAATTATCTCATTTTTATACACATTCCATATTACCCATCATCTGAAATATTTGTGGTCATCATTTTCTGAAAGAATTTCTATGATTCAGTCTGTATATTTTTGGATCCCAGGCAAGAGTTTAATTACACTGCCTGAATAGAAGTTTGGTCTAACCAGGTTTCTGCCCAGTTTTCCTCACTGATGTTAAGCTTTTGCATATTGTTTTTCATTCAGCAATTCAAAGACCTGACCATGTATGAGCTGGTTACGGACATGAGGAAACAGAGACCAGCTATCGTACAAACTAAGGTACGTGCTGCTATCATAATGGGAGTAGGGCCACAGATGTCACTTTAGCGTAGATGTAAGGAACTTCAATCAGTCTTCATTACTATGCTTGATATGATGCCAGACATTGTTTACTCACATGAACAGAAGTACAATTGTCATGTAGCTGGAATAGTAAATTATATACTAGATGTGTTTTCACGAAACAAGTAAAACTAATAATACTTACTGCTGTCTTGTATTTTGTTATTTTTAGGAGCAGTATGAGCTGGTAAACAGGGCTGTACTGGAACTGGTGGAGGACAGTCTGAAGAAAATGCACAACTATGAGAACTTCCCTTTAAATTTCAACAATGGACAGGTACTTACCAAGAATGTCCAACACAGAATGGGTAGCTGACCCAGTGCTGTGGCCTGTTTTTGGACTTAAACAAGTCTAGATCTGTAGCGGTTTGTTGTTTTCACCTGGATACTCTATGTAAGAGTTTTTGTTATACTCAGCTGTTTTTGTTAAACTCTGATAATCGAGTTAGAAATTAAATTGGCCTCGCCTTATTTTACATTTGCACCACCAATAGTGATGATGTCATTGATATCTATCCCCAGGCCTCTCTGACTAGTGACTATGAAGTTGTAGCCCTTCTTGATGAAGGTAAGTATATTATCATGGTAATTTTTTAAAACTGTTGATTTCTCTTAAGGTACAGAATTTGCAGTAATTTGCAGTAGCTGTATTTATTAGATGCTTTTCAAAGAAAGACTAACATTGATATTAAGGCTTATACTGAAACGGCATCTTTCTTGTTTTCTTAGATTCCTATCCAGAAGAACCTCCGCCCAAACCCACTAGGAAGAGACCAGAGGTCCCAGCCAGACCGCCCCTCCATCCACAGAAACCCCAGTCTCCTGCCTCCCCCCAGCCTTCCAACCTCCTCGACGGAAACTATGCAAACGTGAAACCTGCACTCAAAGCCAAACCTCCTATTTTGGCTAAACCTTCAGAAGTCCAGACAAGGAACCAGGAGTATGCAAATGTGTCGACAAACGAAACCTCCCGAGCACCGGGCGCTATGTACGAAAATGTCCTGCTTCCCACCAAGAGCCCAAGTTCTGTAACAACACTGTATGAAAACATTCATCCTTCAGAGATAGGGTCAAGTTCTGGTGGGACTTCTGGGATGGGAAGCATGTCAGATGAGTCGACCCAACCCCAGAATGCACCTCGCAGGCCAGCTGTGCCAACAAAACCTGCCTCTTTCAGCACAGACAATCCGTATGAAGATATAGACTACACAAAGGACAAAATGGAGGGAGGGAGAGAAGCAGATGAGCAGAAGCAGCATCCTCACCTGCCCAGGTTTGCTCACCTGGAGAAGATCCGTTTGCAGCAGCAGCTGCAGAGTTTTGGGGTGGAGGCTCAGGCTGACGAGGACATGGAAGAAGAAGAAAAACATTCCAAACTTCCGTTCAAGAAACTCAATTTTCCTTTTGGACGTAACAAAAAGGAAGAGGGGACCAGTAGTGAGTCTTCCAAGCCTCCAGGGGGCGTGAGTGTGTTTCCTAGCACAGCAGTTAGTAGCTCCACCAATGGCAGTAGTTCTAACACAGAGGCTCCTCCAAAGATAGGAAAAAAGGGGCTGCCAGTTGGTGGAGTAAGTGTTCTACCTACAGGCTCCCCGATGAAGCTAAAAGATAGCCCGCCAGCCAAGCAGAATCATGGGAAATCACCGACCGATGGGCTTGCAGCAATCATGAAGGGAGTCTTCCTTCAGCCCACAAAAACAACAGAATCGACTGCCAACCCAGGCAGGAAGCAAGACGATTCTTTAGAAAACTCGCAGAAGCCCGTAACTCCAGTAGACAGACGTCCCATGCTGCCTCCCCCCAGACCCAACTATTCCCCAAGAACTGTAGCTGATACAGACCTCTACTCTGAGGTAAAAGACTTTGACAACAAGAGGGCTGACACGGACCTGTACGCAGATGTCAAGGACACCGTTGACCCTGACAGCAAGAGCAGCAAATCAAATGACCTTGCTGAGTACTCCACGCCATACGACCTACAGTCTGGTGCTACAGAAGATCACACTCAAGTATACTCAGAGGTGAAACCAAAGAAGCAGCAGCTCAACAGTAGTGGCGGGAATATTGGCGACTACACAGAAGTGAACATGGAGGACGAGGTGTTTGCAAACAGGATGGAGATACAGGACACGTATGAGGACGACGGAACATACGCGACGGTGGATGTAGGACAGTTCAATGCCTCGCACAGTCAGAGGTCAAGCACGTGCAGTTTGGTAGGGAGCCTTACTTTGTCTTTGACTGAAATGATTTAAAGCAAAATCTAATGATGTATGATAAAAACTGTAGATGTATGATTACATTTATAACTGTAAATTGTTCTCACTGCCCTTAATGTTATACTAATTTATAGAAAGTCTTTTCCATACATCTTTGGTACAAATGTACAGGTACTTTTGTATATCGTAACTAAAAGATGTCCTGAGGCTAGTGAGGGAGGTTACAGGGATCACTGTGACCTCGAACCTACAAGTATGACCTTCATTTCACCCTTACACAGCTTAATGGTTCTTTATTGATCAGGGAACATATTCTGTTGTGAGACAGAGGAGCAGGATCCATTTGACCATGTAAACTCTTCTCATGATTGATAGATCATAAAGTTATTGAATAATATACTTGACAGGGCATTGACGATGATGCAGGCAGTGATGATGACAGTGCACCTCCCATTCCAACTCGCACCAAGGAGTCATACGAGTATGGTGAAGGTGACCTTGAAAATTTTAACTGTTTGGCCTGTTAGTGTTAAATGTGTTTGTTGATACATGATTTCTGCAGTCTACATGTTAATACATGTAGACTGGCAGAAGGCAAATGGATAACATATATTAAGTGTCATATTCGTCTGTATTGTTAATGTTATCAATTGTTGGCTTGTTTTTATTGGAAATTTTGGATATGAAAAAAGTAGTATATTCATGATCAAATATTACTTATTTCTGTTGGAACACATTTGTGGTAAGGTTGGTGAGAAGTCAATGTGTTGAAAGACCCTGAACTGAACCAGTCTTCTGTGTTCCCCCCACAGAAGACCTGGACCGTATCTCCACCCATTCCTCAGACAAGTCAGACTCCCTCCCGATGGACACCGCAGCACCTGCCTCAAGGTCAGGATAGCAGGCTTTCACCTTGAACTGTACTATGTCTTCCTGCTTCCGTTTTCTCCTTTTCTCAGGGTTTCTTGCACCTACACATCCTTCCTGTTCTTTGGGCATATCATCTTATTATTTTTGTGTTCTCTGATTTTCGTCATTTCTTCTTTTTGTTCTTCTATTTTCTCAACCACATGAAAGCATATCATTCAAAAACTATCCTCTCATTTTCATCACTTGTTCTTTTCTTTTTCTTCTCTTCCTTCTATCTTCTTAGTGCTCCACCCCGCTCCAACTTCCCCTCCCTCATGAACCTGCTCCCCCTGCTGTTTGTAGTGGTCCAGGCCGCCCTGGTGTACCTGATTCTGTTCTTCTCCTTAAACTGAGCTGCAGGCAGCGGCACTAAGGTCTCTCTTACTCCTGCTCACACTTAGGCACTGCTTCATTCCCTTGGTTAGATATTTTACAGTTAAAATAAGCAAGACGACAACAGTGGCTGGGAGAGAAACTTGAGTCTGACTAAGTTCTCTCCGACACCTCTGTTTCCATGTTATATTCAAGTGTATCATGATTACCAGGATTATGACAATTTAAAATCTGAAAGCCTACTAATGAAGTTGGTGTAGCCTTTCTTATTGAGTATCTTATTAATTCCCAAAGGCTCTTATTTTGATGAATTTTGTGTTGAAATGTGTTTTGATGCAGAGACAGTTTTTTTAGCAATATTCCAATAAATGAGATTTTTCGGGGATAAGCAAAAGTGATCACTGCTAATCCTGAAGGGCCTGCATGGGGGTCTCAGGTGAACCCAAGCATTAGGGTTTGAACCTGAACTGTGTTTAATGATTTTTCAGTGCACGGAAGATGAAGATGAAGAACTTCTTACACAAGGGGAAGAACATGTTGAAGATCAACCACAGCTCAGGTCTGACAGAGCAGGAGAAAAAGGAACTGCAAGGTGTGGTTGTCTTCAATTTGTCTCATTTTCTTGACTTCAAGACAACTGAATTTTGTACTACGCTTGCACAACTATCCTGAGAATGCAAAAGTACAACGATTGCTCAATGCATGTGACTGGCCCTACTACATGTGACCAGATCCAGTGCATTTAACCACGACCTTCTACATGTAGTCAGTACATGTAATACTATGTAGATGTTGACAGACTCTGTTGTTGTGTGTCTCTACCCTGCAGAATGCTCTGAGGCCAACTTCAGGCCATATCAGCCCACCTACACAGGACAACCTGCAGTCCACAACAACCAGGATATAGGTAAGTCTTACCTCCCTCTCATGTTCACTCCATTTACTCTCTCCCTCCATCCTAATGAAGGTAGATTGCAAATTGTATTTTGTATTGTTCTGGTTAAGGCATTCAGCTGAGGGAACTACCCTATCCAAGATTGATAAATAAAGAAATCATTTGTTTTGTGAAGTAAGGACCTTAGACCACTTAGACTACTGAGACCATAATGGACCCATTTCTCTCATCTCCTTCCCTGTCTTAGTGTTGAAGTGATGTCTTCTTGTTAGTGTTTTTTATGTCCAACCAACCCATGTTGAAACTTTGTTATACCTGTATTAAATCCCAAATGATCTCTTCTGTATTAGGTTTTGGCAAGAGAGTTGGAAAGCCAAAAGGACCCAGGGGCCCACCAAAGAACTGGTTCAGAAAAGACAAGGGAAAAGACACACTATCAGCCTGAAGGTGATACTTCAAGGTAAAAGGCTTGTGTTCAGGGTGGGCGGGGTTATACACAGTACAGCAAAGCACTTCAGCACAGTGAGAACTTCTGGAACAGCAAAGTATGGTGGGAATTACAGCAAGGCACCATGGGAACAACAGCAAAGCAGTATGGGAACAACAGCAAAGCTGTTGAGGAACAAAGACTAAATTTAAATGATTATCATGGGAACTACAACAAAGCACCATGGGAACTACAACAAAGCACCATGGGAACAAGGGCCAGGCAGTATGGGAACAAAGACTGTGTAACAAAATGACAAAAAAAATTAGTGGCAGCAGGAGGGAAAATTCTTGTACAATCAAAATGCTGCTGAAGTATTACAAGTCTGTTTCCTTCATTTCAATGTGACTCAAATCAAGATATGTCATGCTTCCTTTAATGTCATTACTGTGTATATGACAGGGTATCAGTCATCACAGGCTATAAAAGACTGTCAAAGCTTTAAGTCATCCCAAAAGACTTTGTCAGTCAGGCCATTTAGGCTGGAGAAAAATGTACCAGTTTATGCTGAAAAACATAATATTTGCACCAAAGAAACACTTTATTCAAGTGGAAATAATAGCAGTAGAGAAGTTATATGCTAATAATAGGGCTACACTCTACAAGTGATATTAACAGCATATAATTACTAGAAACATCATGATTATGTTTTCCTAACTTACTTGTGAAAATTGGTTAGTTTGATAATACAATACTGTATCTGTATGAACTGTGAAGAGGAACCCAAATGGCTGAGGGACCAGTGCAAGGACAACAGTTTTGGGGAACATTAATTTTCTTCCCAGAACTCCTTAATGTGTCAACTACAGTTCTGACACTTTTAGAATTGCTTTTATGTTTGAGGAGATTCATTGTTTTAAGGTATGATTTTTTTTTCAAAATCGGGACCCTTTTTTATATTTCAGAAAATGGATGCTAGGTATGATGTGATTCTTCATTACTATTTGATCTTACAATTTGTTATGTTTATAGCTTTGATGAAATTTTTTTAATATTTTAAGGAAATTTGCTAGTTGCTAATGTGCAGAGGAATATATACAAATGCATTGTGTACATGGTGTTCAAAACCTGAAATGAAGAAATGTATGTCAGATGTTATAGGATAGAAGGATTGGCAGGGTCATAGGCTGTAAGTTATAATTCTTGAGTACTTTATCATACAATCAATAAAGAGCTGGGAGGACAAGTGTTGGGTCAAATGGCTACCAACACAACAGTTAAAGGTAATAGGTTATATGGTTGAATCAGAGGCTCATACTTAACATAAACTGGTATTTGAATAGTTAATATAACATCATGGTATTTTAACTGTTGTATCCAGCAATGCAAGCTGTATTATGTTTACCCATGTACTTGTATATATAAATATATATAGCAAAGCTACATATGAAGGTGATAAAAATATCAATAAGCGACTAATTTCTAACAATTGTAAAATTTGGTTTATGTGAAATGGATATAATGTTTATGGGAACTTGTGAAGCTATAAATCGTTATTTATAATTTTTTTTGTACTAGACTGGGACCCCAGTTGATTTTTTTGCACTGCTACTAATAATCGGACATCAAACAGGTTGTACAGGTTACAATGTTGGAGATAAGCTACAATTAGGAATCATTGAATAATTGAATAAGGAATTATTATTATAACAGTTTTAAAATTGCTAATATTATAATCTTAAAGCTATATCTGTTGTCTACACAACTAAGAGGCTGCTAGAGGCTGCATTGTGAAAGCAATTACATGTACTAGTATTCAATATGTTTCAATAAGGCACTGGTGTCCTTCAATGTGTACTTGTGGCCAAACAAAATTAACTTGTTGGTTCATAGATTCACCTATTTTATCTTTTTTTTCTGATTTTAAGGTTCTGCACAAAAAATTAGAGAAGATACTTCTTTTCCTAATTATTACATGTGGCCACGGATTGAAAGTTCAGATTCCATTGAGTTCATTGTCTGTGGCTCCTATAGTGACGTTCAAATCTATCACTGGACATTTTCTTCATTTTGCCCACCTATTTAAAGTTCTCAAAACTCTGAGAACCAAGATATTAAGATGGTGAGGCCTGAGGGATACTGGGCACTGTACATGTACCCTTTAAAATCATATTTTCTGGCTTGTACGTCTGAAACTCATGATATTTTCTTCATTGTCACTATATCTATAATGTTGGTTTATATACATTCATCCATTCCAAAGGAAAGTAAGTCGAAGTTGTGTTTATGTACATCGACCACTCAATGGAATTCATTTACAAAATTGGGCACTACAGAGGGCAAGTGATTCAAACCACCAGCACTTCATGTTAGAAAAGGTTGATTCATAATTATTGGAATAATATTTGGTTTCTAATGCTACACAAACATGTTTCATGTCAAATATGAAACGAAAGGTAAATGTATAGAGAATTACAACATTTCTGTACAAGAATATGATTGCAATATTGAAAATACCAATAAAGACAATGAAATATGTGCCTGAGTAGATTCTACTCTATTTATATAGTATAAACACACAGGTCTTTTTGCTGAGTATCATCAAGTAAGGGTACGGTTAAATGACGTACTTGGAACAATCTGGCACATGAAGCGAAACGGGCGAGTACAAAAAGCGGCCCTCCACTTCGATTCGCGAAAAAGAAAACATAAGGACCTGGTCTTTATGTTCTTGTTTGGTTTTCCCCGATCCCACGAGTGGTAGTCAACACGCGCAGAACCATCCATCCACTCGAAGACCCCTTTAGTGCGCCGATACTGCAGGCCGATCCAGTGGTTGTAGTCTCCTGCACGAGGCAAGGAGGCCAGGAAGGCGTTTATTTCAGCATCCCGGGGAATGGCGAGGGTGCCGCCATCTTGACGACAGATCGCGACCGCTCCAAAGAAGGGCAGACGTGTGGCGAAGGCCTTGTAGCAGATACCGCGGAACATAATATAGCCTAAGGATTAAGATGTGAGAAATATTTGCATTTACTCAGGTATATTCTAAATTTATAGGTCACAAATATCCACACTACTCTTTGCGTGGTCAATTCTTTTCTAGAATTACAGCGCTTTGCAACATCTGGGAAAACTTTTAAATGGGACAAAAATGAGACAACTGAGTTAAAATATGAAATATTTGAGTGAAGACTTATATAATGTTCCTCACATGATGAAAGTTTTACCTGTATGTTCAGCCAAACACTTTGACATCCCTGTTGGACCAGGTAGTCCGGTGGGCCCCATCAGTTCTCGTGAGCTAACTGGTCCGGATGGCCCAGTGGCTCCCTTCTCACCGGACAACCCAGGGCCATCTCGCCCCATGGGCCCCCTTTCTCCCGGAGGCCCAGGTGGTCCTGGAGGACCTGCACACCCAGAGCCAGCTGGGCCCGTGGGTCCCCTTTCTCCCGGAGGCCCAGGTGGTCCTGGAGGACCGGCAGACCCAGGGCCAGCTGACCCCGTGGGTCCCCTTTCTCCCGGAGGCCCAGGTGGCCCGGCAGACCGATCGCTATGTGGCGTCACGTTTCCCTTCTCTCCCGGAGGCACAGCAGACCCAACCACCCCTCCTATGTCTTCGACCTGGAAGGCTCCGGCATATGTGGTGTTAAGATAAAAGGAATCTGAAGAATACAATTTGTTGAGCATGTAATATATTCAGTAGCGATGCATGAACCTGCGAGAAGAAGCCGGGACTTCATACTAGATTTTGATATTCAGACAAGCTGATAAATTTTAGTTTAGCCTTTTGGGACCTATATTCGACCTATATGGCCTAATGGGACAAATAGTACAAGAAGTCAAATTAAATTTTTTATTCACAAATATCATTCAAAAATACACAGGTGTAGTAGATAAAACCTCTATTTTGTTTTCACATAGTGAAAATCTTCTTTTATACAGTTCTTACATTTGCATACTGTGGCCGTATCGGAACAAAGTACTCACGTTTCAGCTCCTTCACTTCGGCTCGAAGCTGTCCTATCTCCTCCGTGAATTTAACTGTGTAAAGAATTGAAATTACTGAGTTTGATGCAACATTTTAACTTGCCATTCAAAACGTCATGACTTTCTGACATTAAAGAAGGAGAAAAAACTGACCTGCAAAATATTGAAGTATTACAGCAATGGCTATGACAATCAGAGGACAGAAGATTTGCCACAACATTTTGCATCGGCTGAAGCATCCCGCCTTGTGGCAAGTGGGCGGATCGTGGTCTCCTGTTTGCCAAAATAAAAGGAAAGTTCCTAGTTGCAATACTTGCGTGGATGGTAATGATACAATGAAAGACATCGTGTTGTCAAAGGGGAGGTTTCAGTTTCAGTTCAACCAGTCTGATCTGCATGGAGACTGCTGCATGGATTTACAAACTTAAGATTACACCGACGGTATGCATTGAAACAGGTTTCTTAGTACATGATTCAACTTAAAACCAAAGCAAGAACCACAAAGCAAGACAAGAATCGGACGCCGAAAGCGGACTTTGAAACGCTTTACCTGCCCCGGAGGCGTACACAGTCTTGTCTACACACGCAGCGGCGTCCGTACGGGCCCACCAATACGTCTGAAGCGGCTGTTTAGGTGTGGTGCCTGGGGGGAAATTACAAATTTAAGATGGCACCGACGGTATACATTAAACAGGTTTCTACCAAAGACAACAGCCAACTTAAAACCAAAGTAAGAAACACAGAGAAAGCGTAGCGGACTTGAGAACGTTTACCTGCCCCGGAGGCCCTCCCGGAGGCGTACATAGGGTTGGGCACACACGCAGCGGCGTCGGCACGTGCCTGCCAATCAGTCTGAGGCGACTGTTTGAACGTGGTGCCTGGAGGAATATTATCATAGTATATATATATATTTTTTGTAGAGATTTTGAGACGTTTAACACTTACAGGTTAAAAGCACCCTATGCAATTTCAGGGCGGAAATACAAAACAATATTCGAGGAAATTTGTATGATACTGACATTTACTGCCATTTTTTCAGCACATAAACATCTTTTCATATATATATGACGCATTTCAAATAGCCCAACAAAGCTAAGTGGAGTTCCTTTATTTTTGAATAGCTAGAACCAGCTTATGAAACAAAACAAGTAATTTTTTCTAACAGATCAGCATGATAGAGGATATGATTGATTGGTGATCCTAATGTCAAATACGGCAACGAGATAAAAGTACAAACAAATGGCGGCTACAAGCATTATACTAATTCAATGGTAGACAGCAATATCAACAGTCGTCATCAGTTTGCACGCTTAGTTGCCAATCTTAGCACCTTTTAGACGGGTACCTGTGTCACTTGTCTCGGACTGATGCTGTTCTCCCAGTTGCAACATGATGCCACTAGTCAGGTTTCCGGAGAGCGAAATCACGTCCTACACCAGACAAGGCGCTTATACTGACTCCAGCCTAGCCCCAGACATACAAAAACATGAAGCCTTTGATACGTCACAACATCAGAAACAGAGGAAGGAAGCGATTATGTTCGTCGGCTCACAAACGCCGCTCACATCGAGACACATTATGCGAACACGTCATCAGTTTATTCGCAAAATACTGAAAATAAGTCTGGAGCAGACTAGGGTCATTTTACTTGTTTACGAGGAGAAGAAAATGCAAACATTCATACATGCAATCAATTCATCGGAGATTATATATGCCTTATGAAGATCCCACATTGGCAACTTCAATGAATAGAGGCGCGCCAAATAATTCCCCTTCACCAAATATCGGCGTCCATTCGCAAGTAGCACCTGGTTTGGGCTCACTCACTCACTCATTCAATCCTAGATACACACACACACAATCCTACACACACACGCGCACTCACCAACCCAGTCTATCCAACAATGGAATCCCCGTAAGAGAACTGCACAATATGACATCTTCCCATCCTACCTCTGCTTGGAGAGCACGTCATTAATTACATGCCTCTTAATTGAAAAGTGAGTGAGTGTACAAACATCTCCAGACATCAAATGTGGCGAACTTGAAAATTACCGACTGTCTGAAACATGTCTGAAAACGACACGCAAGAGTTCTTTCCTAAAATCACCGGTGAGAATTTCCCCCACGTATCTGCTTGGAGTTTGGTTTGGGCTGTGAGTGTGCGGTTGTGGGAGGGATGTGGCGTCCTCGAAGACGAATACACAGTGCTGGAGGGTGTGGATGGGCCATGAATATTTCATGACGCTTTGTGCGCCGGCCTTCAGCACATTTGCTTTTGAGGGTGTCACTAGGTTCTCTTACATTGTCCAAATACCAATTTCTGAGTCCTTTTACGACAACAGCTTCTTTCTACGGACTGCATAACTATCTCTCTGACAAGTGTATCCTCCCAAATACAAACTTTGAAAACCGAGGCGCACTACTGGCATCTCCTAACATAGTCACCAGCTTAGTTTAGTGCCCTGAAGTGACCTTTTGGCCCTGCACTGAGCAACCCATTAGCAATATGAAAACGGTGCATGTGCATTGTCGCAATGGGGTTTCGCCACGTGTACGGCTTGCGTTTACAAATAAGCAGACTAGATCCACCCTACCCACCCAACACAAGCTTAAGAAAATTTTATCATTGTCGTTTTTTACTTTTTGGACGGAAGACAAGAAAGTCTTGGTTTCATCAGTAAGACCAAATAACCTTGGGCCCAGCCATCTTTCAGTCGGCTGGAACAGTTTACATCAACATTGGGTAACCATGGAAATAACCATGGAAACGTGGCGAAAAATAGCTCGCGCTAGGCAACAGGTGACCACACCCGGCCAAGGACACGGTGTTTTTCTGTACCGACTGGAGACAAGCCCGTCTCGGCGTCATCTGCAGCGACGGACTAACCATGGGTGGACGTGCTCGCATGTCGGACAGGGGCCGCCTGGTCTCCGCCGGTATCACCTGTTGGCTGCTGATTGTCACAGGTAGGAAAGAAACTTTTCTGTTTGATCCGTAGTTTACATTTACCCGTACGTATGTGCCAGGTTAAAACCTTTAAGGATTTTTAAACCTCCTTGATATGTAGCCAACATGGTTGGCTATGTAGCCGGTAGCCTTTATGAATCACAATTCCAACATTATAGATAGTAACAGTCCCTTGCAAAGATGGATCCGTTGTAGTTTCCATGTCCAAGATGTTTCTGACCAGTCGTGACTACGGCTCTGTACCCTGTATATCCTGTACCAGTCTTGTAAAATTGCTTAAGTACATGTCTGGATCCGACCTGAACGTCAAGTGTGCGGGTACCAAGAAACCATCTTAGACTGATGGACAGAAAACAATAGGCTTTCGTCTGAAGACAGTGACCTGGTTCATCAACCAGTTAGAATGATCTTTCGGAACAGTTTGTTCTGAAACAAGAAGCCTTTTTTTAAAACAATGGCGATCATGTCCCAACCTGTCCCTAGCGCGCTCTAAGTGTTGGAAAAAGCAGAGACAAACGACTGCACATCCACACATCTCTGCCCATCCCGCTGTTCCAGTGGGTTAGATCACACCGCAGGTACACACATCCCCAACAATCACGAACACACCCGGCAATGCCTTGGAGTGCAACCGCCACTGCATCGTATCACGTTCACGGGACCTGTTTGTTTTTCCTAGTACAGTCTTAGCCTGGGTGCCGTCCTCCGTAGTTACCGACGGGACTCTTTTGTCGCTGCCCTCCTTCCTAAATTTTCTACATAGAATTTATTTTATTACTCTGCTACTTCAGTCATTCGCACATGTTTTCCATTCAAAAGCAAACAGACGTAGGAGGGGATAAAAGAACAAATCACCCACAAAGATACATAAAACCTCATAATATAACTACATGTAAAGGAGTGTGTGATTCAGTCGGCAGACTGTGAAACGCCTCTTGTAGTTTTACTACTACCATTCATAATAATAAAATTTGATGAGATACCAACTCGTCTCTTCGACGAAAATCAGACGCATGTTTAACCGAGGGGAAAACAGCAGATTTGTAGGCACAATTGCAAAAGGCCTTCAAAGTAGGGAGGAGCAAACGGTTCAACAAAAGAAGCAATCAAACAAAAAGCAAGGATACATAAAACCTCTAAATATTTGATGAGATACCATGCAGCGCGTCTTTCTGTTCGACGAAAATTGGACGCATGTTTAATCGAGGGGAAAACAGCAGTTTTGTAGGCACAATTGCAAAAGGCCTTCAAAGTAGCGAGGAGCAAACGGTTCAACAAAAGAAGCAAACAAAAAGCAAAGATACATAAAACCTCTAAATATTTGATGAGATACCACTCGCATTTTCTGTGTGATGAAAACAAGACTGAAAACAGCTGCTGCAGTTTTGTATGGACAACACCCCATCACTCGATAATGTCCCCAGAGACTTTCTGTACCAAGCCCTATACAAAAATCATCATGAGTGAATAACGTTACCATTAACCATGGTGCGCCACCTAGCGGATAATGAGTCCAGATACAAAAATCTTTACATTCTCTATTAGGCTACAGCAAGTATTTTTAATGGCATCAGCGCGCGCATTGATTTTAGCCTCATTTTTAAGGAAAAAAAAACACATTTTGTTGCCCTCCAACTATGGTCAACATGCGAAAATGGGCAAATATGTTGTAAACGTCCATCTTTTATCTTTACTTTGATAGAGTGTTGTATTTTATTACTCCGTGAAGGAGGTCAGGACCTCCGGACGGAGTGTTGTAATCGGCTGATTTTTCATGTTCGCAGTCAAAACACTGGGTTCTCTTTGTGTAATCGGCACGCAATTTTATACGCCGTCTGCGGGCATGCCCGTGTTGATGCACGAATGTGTATTTTTGCCGTTGCTGCTTTCGCGGTCAATGTAATATCGCAGACGCACCCCTACAATTACGAGGCGAATTGGAATGGTCCAGAAAAACGCGTTGTTTGGAATAGCAGTGGGGTTCAAAAAAGTTCATGCAGATACGGGGTGGTTTTTATAAGTGGTTCCAGATGTTTTTGCCCATGGTTAAGAGATGCCAAGTTTTTTGGAAGATGTTCGCAGCCAAAACGCATTCTTCCGTACGTCGCATTTCTGTGTAATTTCGCATGTGGTGTTGCATTATGTCCGGGATGATGCACGTCTTTTTATTTTTACCGTAGCTGTTTTGATATTGGAGTAAATGCTTATTTTCGAAACATCCCCATTTCCTTGAAATGGTTTCGTCCGTTTATGCAACTGTTACTGCGCTAATGACGACCAGTCGCGCTGTCCTGATACACCGCGAATGTGCGAGTGTTCCCTGTAGACAGTCCCGGGAGTCATTTTTTTGCACATTCCAGGAGCCAAACCAAAATACGTTCATGAACCGAGTCCAAAAACCGAAACGTGAAAATCGGATGATCGGACCTGATGTACATTTCTCTTTCTATAGATTGTACACACAATACACACATCTTTAGATAATCTGGCCATGGCAGGTTAAAAAAAAAGTAACCCTGAATCATACTAGATTAGCGTAAATGCATGTTAATGCGTTCAAAACAAGAAAAAAATTGTTTCCGGGTATTAATCTCTTGAATCACGGCGCTGAATATTGACGCAAAAATATTTCGGGCATCGCGCGCCCTTCCCGCGTCACGTGTAGGCATCTCGCATCTCTGATTGGTTGTTGCGTCTTAAGATGACTGAGCCGACGCGCGTTTAAACAATTTTTCTTTGTTCGATTTATCACACTTCACAGAGAATTGTCGCCAATGGCTACTTCTTTTTGTTGCAATATATAATACTTCACGGAGAATTGTCGCCTATGGCTTCTTGTTCCTTTTATATTTAATGTTGCTACTGAATCAAAACCGTTTCTGCAATGATTCTAAACTTTAATTTACTCATTTTTTCAAAGTTGTTTCAGATACAAATGGATGTTCACGGTAATAGTTGGCACAATATAGTTAGAGTACTAGTATGACTTCCGGTCAGTTTAGTTTATGAGGCACTCTGTCAGAGTTCTGGCAGGCAGTCTCTAAACTCAGGGACCAGCAGGGATCTGGCAAACTTGAGGCGCGATTGCTGGCGTTTGATGGAAAGTGTTGACAGTCTAAGGTGTTCTGTTACATATAAATACCCACTGTAGTAGCTACCCATGATGGCACAAGCTCTTTTCTACATTCGTTGTAGGTGCATACATGTCTATACTGATAGGTGTTGAATACTGGAATAAAAGACTTATCGGTTGTGATATCATGTTTTGTCACCTCAGTTTTTCTTTAACAAGGTCTACGATGTGAAAATTTAAAGATGTAGGAATCTTGTTTTTTTTGCCCGATTGTTTTTTTTTCACCATTTCGCATTAGATTTGGAGTCTGAGGAGGATGTCATCCATAAAATTTACTTGCTATGGCG